AAAAAACACAGTAAAAAAATCATAAAAACCCTATTAATTATATCTATAATAGATGTGAATTGCTCGGTCGAGACATCTAACAAAATTTTACTAGAGAAATATTTCTCTGTAGATTCTACTAAACTCTATAGATGACTTAGAAACTCTTGTCCAAAGCTCTAACCTAACTGCTTGAAACATAGAAATCTTTGATTGTTATGTTAAAATTATTAGAATTGAGTGTGAATTGACTTTACATGAAATGAAATATGAGCAAGTTAAAAATTTATAAAGAGATGTACCCATTGCCTTTAAAATTTTAAAATTACATTACATTGTCCTACCCATTACCCATTACAAGACTCTCTACCTAAATACTCTCAAACCCGACAAAAATGACTACTTGTCCAATAAATATATAGATGAGGTTGCACATTGAAGGGATCTTGTCAAAATGGGACTCTCACCCAAGACCATAATTGCCTTAAAATATTATTTCGAAATGACACTCCCACTTCTCTTCACCGATTCAATGTACATGTAACAAATCCTCAAATTGGGGGGCCGCCCTTAACGTCACGCGACCTTTACGACCACTTAAGATGGTTTCTTTTGCATCACATAAAACGAATGTAATAATAAGAAAATGGAGAGAATTTCCTTGACTTTGGTGAACAACAACTCAACACTTCATAAAAAATCTCATCCGTTTGGGTGCACCTTTGAGGGGGCGAGGTGAAGATGCAACACCATCTTGACTTGGAAGTTGGTGAGAGGGACTTGGAAAACAAATAACTGTACATGTAAATAAAATCATTTGACATGTCCCTCATATCACAGATACACGACCTATTGGTCTTGGAACCTCAATCATATAGTCACCTTTATAGCAATTCTCTCTACACATTTCTAGATGCTCCTTCAACACAACTTCATCCTTGGTCGTATAGAAAGTGAGAGTCCCTATAACTTCCTCTTCCACGCTAGATCTAATAAGGGCGTCTACCTCAACCATGGTATAATGATATCGACCCTATCCTTCTTCACCATCTATCATGCAATGCACGACAAAATAAAAGTTTACATAAGTAAACCATCTGTTGTCACCTGCTGTAATAAGCCCACATGATGCGTGCCCCTATCACGGTATGTACGTGGTACCAAAGAAATCCTCATTGCGGCACACATTTTGTGAGTAGTAGTCATAAACTACCTTTTGAGGTGGTGAGAAAGCATAAATTTTCATAGAATCATAACCAAAAACAATTGTCGTCATTACACGTTGAGCAAACAAAAGGAATCACTCCAATGAACAACCCATATACTAATGAGCAAAACGAAAATTCTCAATGACATGTGGCCCTTTATAAAAGCCTCAAACGTAAAGACATTATTAACTTTTTTCATATGACCAAATTAAACCATTATGAATGACATATGAAGGGTCATAATCATGCATGATTACACATTTAATGCACACAGTTCAAAGGCGGCTAAACCAATAGACACACAACACATGGTGTGGCTTTAACAATCATTAGAAATTTGAAACCTCTCGCCAACTATACATCTCCATAGACATTGAAACGAGCCTGGCAAAAAACAAAGACCATCAACGTTCACCCAACATCACTTCTAACTCAACACCACATCTCAATTTGAAGCTATAAAGTAAAAGCCCAAGTCAAAATAGACTCGAACCTCACTTCAAGCCACAATGCTTCTAAAAAACATGTCTCCATCACTTTGCAATAATGGTAAGCCAAGGGGTAACTATTTTGTAGTGATATTATTGACATTGGATTGAAAAACAACCATAGTTAAAATCCCTCAAAGTGTCTTAGAACCCATTGCAGTCAAAAGAGCATCACATGTATCCAAGAAACCTCGTTGTAAAACATTTCAAATCACACAACTTGCATGCTTAAAACTTGGTATTAATGTCAAATTCATTGCTATGCAGTCACTTCTCAATTATTCATGACAAGACAATGATGAAAACCTCGTACAAAGAGTAAAATAAATGTTTATATAAATGAAGGTAAACTCCATACCTTAAATACGTTAGTCATTTTTCTTTGTTATATAATCTATTTTAAACTCTTTTTCACTTGGTCATTTGAATGTTTTTTTTTTATAAGAATTTCACCAATTCACTTGACTTCCCTAACCACCTAAGCACACCACTACATCAAAACAATGCTTGCTGTTAAACATTTTTTATATTGGAGGTGTGCACCATTGCCCCTTAAATTGTCAAGGACCTCAAAACACAAATTTATGGTGTAAGAATTGCCACAAATGCACGACTTGCTTTCGTGAAAATCACGACACCAACGTCTTGTGACATTTTCGACAAAAGTTCTTGAACAAAATTACACCAGGTGGTACTCATCTTGGCTTGAAAAGTTGAACGTCTTGTCCTCCTCCATGGAATGATAGATTTGTTTTTACTTTTTTTCAAGAAAAAGTTGAGAGCGTGCAAGAGCATGACTAACAACCAAGAACTCGTAGAAGAGGATTTAGAGGTGATGTGATATAATAATAAAGGACAAATATATAGACCTTGTTGAAGGAAAAAAAAAGAATATTAATTTGTTTTGACATTAATTTTTTTAAGATAGAGGCGGAGAAACGAAAAACTTCAAGGATAATTTTGATTTAAAAAAAAATAGCATAAAAATTGCTATTACCAAAAACAAGGGTGTAAGAAGTAATTCTAAACTGACCTATTAGGCCTAAAGAGTATTCTTTTAAAACTCAAACTGGATCTAGTTTGCGAACAAAAGTAAATATGAACCATTTAATTAATTAAACTTTTTAAGAAATTTGAATTTGACATTTTATTGAATATACTGAGCCAAGTTAGGCCTCAAACAGATTGGGCCAAACTTTTAGATATATTTTCCGGTAAAAAAATTTAGAAATAAATAAAATAAGTGTCCTCAAGATTTTATCATATGCATATTAGAGTAATAATAATGTTGATACCATACTTTCATGATTCTTATACACGCGACTACTTTTCACGAAAATTAATATATGCAATTGGAGGGGTGATTCTACGGTTCTTCCGTTTTTTTTTTTTTAGTAAATTTTAAAAGAATTAAGAAATTAGATTGTATATTAAATTGATAGTTAGGATTGAAATAGAAAAATAAAACACCTAATGAATAGCCTGCTTTTATTGTTAGTCATATCAATGTTATTCATCCAGTCTTATTTATTTTGCACCGTTAGAGAAGATGAAAAGTCATTAAAAAAAGACAAACATTGGAGAAGAAGTGTTACTTTGTATTATACTTTAACTTACTATATCATTCTTGTTCTATCTATGTTCATCAACCATTAGTTTGCAATTTAACTAGCTCTTTGTATATCTATTTTCATTCATAATCATTAGAGAAGAGAAGATGAAAATGAAGAATAGAAAAGATATAAAATGAAAAATGGAAAAGACGTAAAGAAAAAAAATAAAAAACTTTCTACATCAATTTTCTCATAAAAAAGACTTAAAAAGTATATGTATGTTAAAAAAAAATGTAACTTTCTACATTGTTCTCTTAAAGAATTATAGAAAGCTTTTTATTTTTTAAATGTTATTTTCTACATTGATTACATGAGAGAATGATGTAGAAAATATGACTTTTTTCTTTATTAAATATACTTTTTACATATGCTATCTTAAAGAATCGATTAACAGATGTAAAACGTAGCAACTTAAGAAATGTTACTTTCTACATCGGTTGTCTCAAAGAATTGATGTAAATTATATTTTTTTAAAAGAACTACTTTCTACGTCGGTTTCATCACAGGACCAATGTAAAAAATAGTAAAAAATTTTGAATAGTATTATTTTTAACGTTGTAAACTTTAAAAGTGTATAACTTTTGATATAAAACTTGAATATATGCAAATTATATGTTTATTTCATATAACTTTTTGAGATTTGTCCAAATTTTTTTAATTATTTTTAGTGTTTTTTTCATAGTTTTTTGGGTAAAGAGTTCTATTATTAATATTGAAGAAAGAAAGGAAAAAGATAAAAAGAAGACAATGAAGAATATAAACATAACAAGAAAGAGAAATTACCAATATATTCCTTCTTAAATGTAACTTGTATTACCAGTTTTTAGTCTTTCATTTTTAACCATCCAATTTTGATCAACGATCCATAATATTTAAAAGCTTTTAAAAAATACATTTTTATCTTCCTTTTTACAAAAGAAGAAAGGACATTAGAATCATCCCAACTGGAATGCTACTCTACTCTAATTAAATATGGCCTTAAACATTGAAATATCAAGTTACCATAATGAAATTTTACTAGTTAAAATATATGGACAAGATGTCAAGATGTAAATAAATTTATCGACCAAAGATATTTTATCAATCTCTAAAGAAAAATTGAGGTACATTGATTAAGTTAATTTATTTTGTGATTTTGAATTTAAATTATAATAAATTTAGTAACATTAAATACTTAAAAATAAAAATTCATCTCAAACAAAATAAATTTTAGTTAAAAATATTTGTGGTTTTAAACAAAAAAGAAAAAATTGAAGTACTTATTTATATATTGTTTAAGAAATTAATAAATAAATTTTTAAAATTATATTAAAATTATGTAAACAAGTAAAATTTTTAATTTTTTAAATATTTTTTATTTCTAGTTCTTTAACTAATAAACTAGTGTACTGGTTAAAATTAAACAAAAAAGCCACTGTTAAGAAATTAAGAAGAGAACGAAGGAGAAAAACTATTGGGATCATGTTCCTTTTAAGTTAAGAAAATGCTATTTTCTTTAATACAAGTTAACATTTGGCCATTTGGGTGGGTAACAAACAAATGAAATAAAGAATGCAGAAAACAGTGACGTAAATATAAGCAAAAGCATTACAAGTTTTGAGGAACAGAAGTAGCAGAGCCAATATCCACTACTGTCATCTTGTCTCTCCTCCAAGTCCTATCCTTTCTTAAACCTTAACGAGCCACAAATTTTGGTAACAAACAAAACAGAGAAATTCATAAAAATATGTTAAAGATAAAACCTCTTCCGAGACACTTACCTGTCCCATCTCACAGTTCAATCCTTCTTCCTTCCTCTCTGAATCATGAACAAGACAACAATTCTATCTCAGCACAGAAATCCAAAATAAAATTAACCAAAAATAAATTCAACAAAATAATAATAATATACCAAAACCAAAAGAAAGACCAAGGGAAGCAAAAAGAAACATGTTGGTGATTGAATCGAGTGGTTCGAACGTGGATCTTCCCGAGGAGTTGGTGCAAGTTCTACCATCTGATCCTTACGAGCAACTCGATGTGGCCCGCAAGATAACCTCCATTGCTCTTTCGACACGTGTTAACGCGCTCCAATCAGAGTCGTCTGCTCTACGCGCCGAGCTCGCCGACAAAAACAGGCTCATCGCGGAGCTCCAGTCTCAGGTGGAGTCCATCGACGCGGCTCTATCCGAAGCCGCCGATAAGCTCGCCCGAGCTGACCAAGACAAGGTTTGAACCGCGCCCTGAACCCGGTTTAGTTTTTTTTTTTTTTTTAATTTAAACTTTTGTTTTGGTTGAGTTACAGGAGAGCTTACTGAAGGAGAAGGCTTCGCTTTCGAACACAGTGAGAAAGCTGAGCAGAGATGTGTCCAAGGTGCTAATTACGTTCTAACAAATTCTGAATTTTGATTTTAATTTGTTCAGCAATTTCTTTGTTGGATTGATGGGTTCTCAATGCAAATTGCATGCAGTTGGAGGTTTTCAGAAGGACGCTTATGCAATCACTTCAAGAGGATGAAGATAATTCTGTATCTTATTATTGTTTTGATCTTCTCTTGGCTTGATTTATTACTTTCGTGTTCTGCTAATGTTCTGAAATATGGGATGAAAGAGTATTAAAATATATAATCCTTGACAAATTTCAGAATAAATTGAACTTTACAAAGCCAGGGATTAAAATAATTAAAGCTTCTAATCTATGCTTATATTTTGCTTCCTAACAGATTGATTATCAAATATTAAAGTTCATGATAACTTGTCTTTCGAAATACTCTGTTCTCTCTAAATACTCTGTCGTGAGTAGTAGCACGAGGGGTGTACAAATTTTAACGTTAAATTTTATTAAAAATTATAAAAATATGAATAAAACTCATTAAATTAAAAGTTAGACTTATATTGTTTATAATTTTAATATTAATAAATTTCAATTAATAATAAAAAATATGTTACTAATATTTTCCTTCATAGCATTGAAATGCTATTTAAATAGACACTATTGCGGTAACATTTGTTGTGCACTGTGCAGCCGAACATTACTGCAAAGTTGCAAAGGGAAGCAAGTATCACTTCCACATCGACGCTTGGAGGTACTTTCAAGTTTCAACTCTTCTGCTATTCACCTTTCCATATCTATGTTTATATCATTTACTGTTTTACACTATTTACTTAATTTATTTTATGCAATAAGGTATCAATCTTTATTGCAGATGAAGAAGCTTCACTGCCCCCTTCTAGATCTTCTTCAATGCGGATCAATATTTCTGATACGGGAAATTATTTTGCTGAGGATCGTGAGTATGATGGTGTGTGTTATCATCTAATGAGGGAATAGTATATATAAATGTATCATTGTGTATAATAAAATACGCAGGATGGTGCCTCTATTATTGAAAAGTTAACAATTGCATGTGTGTGTGTATTCTTGATCACATTGCTTTTCTTTTTTCAATTTGCAAATTGCAGCTGCAAGATTTCGAGCATCACATAATTTGCTCTTAGCATCTCAAAGTAGCACCCCTCGCATTACTCCCCCTGGTTCCCCTCCTAGTTTTTCTGCATCAGGATCACCAACAAGAACATCTAAGCCTGTGTCTCCGAGGCGCCATTCCATTTCCTTTTCAAACTTCAGAGGAATGCATGATGATAGGCATGGCTCAATGTCAAGCTCAGACACAGGGTCACAAACTGGTGAGACCTTCCAAATCCTTGCTTTAATTGTATTTGTTCTAGCAATTCTTTTCATTTTTAAATTAAATTTTTATAATAACACATGCCTTTGGAACACTGATTATAAAATCATTTAAAAGAAAATTTTTATTAAAATTTATGTTAAGAATGCAGTAAAAATGACCAGGGAGTGCCTTGTTATACTTCTTAACATAATTTTACTTTTGATTCCTTAATTAGTGTCTTTAGGGATATGTTTAGTATTTGCCTTAAAAAAATGGTTCAGTTGGTCACTTAATACTGGATTACTTTCCTGAATTTTTCATGCATATGAAGTTTTCTTTTTTATTGTTTCAGGACGAACACGGGTTGATGGAAAAGAGTTCTTTCGCCAAGTCAGGTGAGGGTGCTTGTATTTGAACTTGATTTTGAAAAGCATGAAGTTCTACTGAACTATGCCAACATCAGTAACAGGACTTCAATCTGGTAGCACGAATGTTACATTGTGTTTGAAGCCTAACTTAGTATTCTTTATTGATTGTCCCCTGTTTGTTATTATTAGGAGTCGTTTGTCTTATGAGCAGTTTGGTGCATTTTTAGCAAATGTTAAAGAACTCAATTCTCATAAACAAACCAAAGAGGTAAACTTTCCTATTTCCTTCCCCTCCTGTGTGTCTAAATTTCAGTTAATTGTCACCTTTTGAGTGTTTGTAAAATTGCAGGAGACACTACAGAAAGCTAATGAGATCTTTGGGCCTGAAAACAAGGACCTCTATGCAATATTCGAGGGATTGATTACTCGCAATGTCCATTAACATTGCCTTGCGGAAATTTTTATTACTGAGGTTTTGTTCCATAGTTTGTAACAACTCATATGTACTTTAGTATTACTGCGTGATTAAGTATTCTTTGAATCTTTAAGCCTGTAAATTTGAATTGAGGAATGACTTTTCTTGACAAGATGACACGGTGATCTTTATATATACTATATCTCGATTTAGACAAATATTTAGAAAAATTATTAAAAAATACTATAAAAAATAAATAAAATTTTTGTTATAAAATAAAAAACAACTCATCTCCTCAAAAACTTTAGAAAAATTAAACGAGAGATTTTAAAAAATTTAAAGAGATAAATTATTTTTAATTTATAAAATAATTTTTATTTATTTTTTATATTGATTTTTTATAAAGACTCTTCTAAAAATTTATCCAGACTAAACTCATGTAGTAGATATATACTATATTTTTGCTTAACATGGGTATAATTATTGCTTATTTTTAACACTTATTTTAACTTTTATTAGAATTTTTTATTTGATATTTTATAAGAAGAATAAAAATGTTAACAAAATATTTTTCAATGAAAAATCACATGAGGCTTCAAATCCGATTGAGAAAGTGTGAAACTTGGTATTCATCGTGGATTTTTCATCTGCAAGAAATCGATATGCTTTAAAAGTGAACCACTTTCAAGATTCTTAAAATCTATCACGTGCAAGAACCCATTAAGAGAAACTTCAATAAAGGTATCTTAAAGATTTTTCATAAATAAGCAATGGTTGCAGCGATACAGGAGCGAACGTGCCAACTAAATATAAGCAATCGTTCCTTATTTAGGCTACACTTATTTATATCATTTTTTTGGTCCAAGCAATTGTGATATAAAGATTAACGTTATTGGTGAGCTATAAAGACGTACAACTCATTTTGTAAATTTTTTAAAATTATACTACTAGAGATGAACAAATTTGAAGTTTAATACTTTTATTTTTCTTTAATTAAAGTTAAAATTTTATTTTAATATATAACTCACGTAATAAAATTTAATGAGATCTATAATGATACTTTAATTTTTTAATAAAATAATGATATTTTAATTTTGATGGAAGAACATCACTAAAATATTCATAATACTTATATTTTATCCAGAATAAAAAATAATAATGCATTATACTTAGTTACATGTAAAAATTATAAATTAAACACTTGACTCTCTTCTTTTCTTTTTTGGGTCTGAAAACACTTGACTTTAAGCATCGTTGGAGATGCTTATTTGATTTCCAAAAGAAGGAAGGCCAAGCTGGGATTGTACATTGCAAGGATCTAAACCCTAAAAAAAGACAAATTGAACAAAGACATTTTTTCCTCCTGAAGGTTGGCTCACTTTCTTCATCTGAAAGCAAGGCTTTTGGTTAAGTGTTTCCACAACCCCATAAACCTTCATCTCATTTGTTACAAATGAATTACTATCGACAAAGGATTAGGAATATCCTGTGTTTTTTGAGTAAAAATATACACAAACAGATTCTTTCCACATTTTCCTACATACATATATGTGCAATTTTTAAATATTTGGTAATTATTCTTTGCAACAACTCCATCGTAAGTGTTCTTATACATGTTTCTCAAGTTTTATATTTATTGTCGAAAGCATGAAACAATTATTCTCTTTTACTTGGGAACGGGCACGGTGGAGTTTCATAATTATTCTTTAACTTATTAAATTTTGCATAATATAGTTATACGTTGGATAGCTATAATTTTCATTCCAACCTATTATAATATTAAAATTTGATTTAAATACATGTTATCTAATTACAAATTGTCATATAATATATATATATATATATATATATATATATATATCGTTATTTTTTATAATAATTAATATAAAAATTATATGTAAACAATAAATCAAAATTGAACTCTTAATATTGTCTAAAGCCAGTTGTTACGTGACAAATAAAATGCCATTAGTTGGCTTCATTTCCTCGTGGCAAAGACGTGGGAGGGGATAGAGAGGATGCTCATCCGTACGTCCAAGTTCATAAGCACTTAATTAATTAAATTTGACTATTTTTTTTAACAAATTTTGTACACTAACATCTTTTTCCATTTAATATTTGTTTTATGTGAAGGGAAAAGAAAAATCAAAATTGCATTTAGAAGAAACAATGAATGACCAACTAACTAAAGCCGTTTTTGGGGCATAAAAAATCGGTACGAAGTAATAACAACGTTGTAGTATCATCGTAGGAAAGAGGACGGCACAGAAAAATCATGCCAACCGCTACTTTCATGTCTCTCTTCCTCTTTCTCTTCTCTTCCTCTCTGACTCTATATGCGTGAGCGTCATTCCCGTGGCTACCCTTTTGGTTCTCGGAATTGAAACTTGTCTACCCTTCGCACCATGAACGATGAACAACAATCACAAGCTTCCCAGAGGTAACTTAGTTTCCCTATTTATTTATCCATGCAACGTTTTCATCTTTTGCATGGTCTGTTTATTTGTGTTTCAATTTGTATTTTTAATGTTTCCTTCTTCATCATCATCATCATCGTCGTCGTCATAATAATAATAATAATAATAATAATAATAATAATCTATCAATGCAACATTGTAAATGCACTCATTTTTTTACATTATTACTTCTTGGTTGCAACTTCTGAAAAATGTCATTTTCTTCCAAGTTTTCAACCATGTTGTCTTGATGTTGAATTGATATTTCTTTGGGATACTTTAGTCTTTTGGTTTTAGCCCATGTTTTTTTCACTACATTTTGGGTAGTCGGTGGCTTTTGATCATACATGGGTTAATGGAATTTGTTTTTAGCATGTGTGGTCATGTCCATTGTGTCATATTCCTTGTTGTTTGCTGACAAAGAAGATTATTTTGGCAGCAATGGCGTCCACAAGATAGAAAAGAAACAAATAGCTGAAATGGAGAGAAATTCTTTTAGAGGCAGAAGACCACGACCCGGGTTTTCTGATTCATTTTCAAACATTGGTAACTAAAATTGCCTCTCTCTTATTTTCTGTTTTATAACAGGTTGAGTTGAAACTTACTCTTTCAAGATAATATGGTTTATTGTTTATTATATTAAAACTGAAATGCACACCATAATAGACATGACAGCTCTAGAAATTGAAGAGGGAGGTTCTCATGAGTACTCTCCTAGAGGGCACGAATCTGATACCCCAAGTTCAAGGGCCAGCACTTCTGATTCGGAGAGTCAAGGATCCTTAAGAAGCAATTCACCTAATAACAATAATCAGTGGCGTGGCTTCTTTAAATTATTGAAGAAAGGATCCCAAATGCCCTTCCAAACTTTTCATCCACTTAAAAATGTTCCAAAACTTACTAGAAGAAAGAGCAAAAGAATCAGGGAGGAGCTGATTCCATCTCTGAATTCACCGGCCCTTCAGTCATCTTTTGACAGTGAGTTTGCCTGCTTCAAATCTTCTTGGAAAAATTTCACTCTCTCTGAGATCCAGACTGCAACCAACCACTTTAGCCACGGTATGCAATTCTTTTGTTAGGAAATCCATTAAGCGCGGGTTTGGAATATTGCTTAAGTAAGTGCTTATTTAGTAATTTATTTTTAGATAATATTTTATATCAGAAATTCAATGATGAAATTTATTGGAATAAGATGAAAATTGCTTATTTTGACTTGTTATGCCAGACAAGTTATTGATAGAAGCTAAAAACACTTATGTGAGTTATAAGTTATTTTTTATATATTATTCGTAACTTTTTTTCAAGTAGTCCTTAAATTAAACTATTGGATAAAAAGGGTATTGGAATTATAGCTATGATATTTTAGCACATCAAAGCAGCTTTGAAAGAAAACTTTTTTATAATGGCATCATGCTTTCTAAGCTGATAAGTTATTTTATGTGTTTTTTTAAGATAATTTGATTGGGGAGGGAGGCTATGCTGAGGTTTACTTGGGCAAATGTGAAGATGGAAATTTTGTTGCCATTAAACGGTTGACAAGAGGGACCCAAGAAGAAATGACTGCAGATTTCTTGTCTGAGCTTGGAATTATAGTGCATGTGGACCACCCCAATATTGCTAGATTGATTGGATATGGTGTTGAAGGGGGAATGTTTCTAGTTCTTCAATTGTCTCCACATGGTAGCTTGTCATCCATACTTTATGGTATGCTAACTATCCATTTTATAAGTTTCTGGAATGCTTTACAAATTTTGGAAAAAAAATGAGGTTATAACTGTTTTCTTCCCTTGCATGATTTCAGGACCTAGAGAAAAACTGAATTGGAGCGTTAGATTTAAGATTGCTTTGGGAACTGCTGAAGGCCTTCGCTATCTGCACGAGGGATGTCAAAGAAGAATCATTCACAAAGATATCAAGGCTTCTAATATACTGCTCTCGGAGGATTTTGAGCCTCAGGTGCCTCTTGAGCCTGACAAATCTGACTATGGAATGTGGAATTTTAAGTTATTATGAACTTCTTATGCTCTAATTCTATATCAGATTACAATCTTAATTATTTCATCGAAGTTTGTGGGTACAATTTTAACATCGATCTTACACCAGATATCTGATTTTGGGCTTGCAAAGTGGTTACCTGATCAATGGACTCACCATACTGTGTCAAAAGTGGAAGGCACATTTGGGTTTGTATATTTAACATCTTCACAAGTTTTCTCTGTGTACAGTAATTATATATATTTTTTCACCTATTAATTTATCCTTTTATTTTTTGTTTTCTTTTTGCAATAACCTTGGATGATGCTACAACAGCTACCTTCCTCCTGAATTCTTCATGCATGGTATAGTAGATGAAAAGACAGATGTCTATGCTTATGGTGTGCTATTATTGGAACTCATTACTGGTAGACAAGCTTTGGATAGCTCACAGAAAAGTCTGGTGATGTGGGTATGTCTGCCATTGGACAAACAAATACTAATGTTTATTGATCATCTTGATATGGAAAATGTTCAATTCTAATCTACCCTTTTAAAAATAATTCTTGCAGGCAAAACCTTTGCTGTCTGCAGATAAAATCAAAGATCTTGTGGATCCGGTTTTGGCTGATGCTTATGATGAAGAACAGATGAAGCTTGTAATCTTAACAGCTTCTCAGTGTATAGACCAGTCTTCCATTCAACGACCGAATATGAGCCAGGCATGTCCTTTATATATGAGATATTTGGAAAACTTTTTTTCAGTAGATTGCTAATTGCTAATTGCTAAAGTATGTTAGCTTGTACAAGCATCTTTGCACCATAGGAGTCCTCTCATTTACACCAAACCACTTATCTGAATCATCTCTCTCCAAATAAGTATAACAATGTGTAGGAATAAAAGCTGCAAAGATAAGCCTAGATCTTGTGTTTGGCTTTGACCAAGAAAATACACTGTAGATGATGATTATAACCTGATATACATAGCATGTACTTTTCTCTTGATTGGATGCAGGTGGTACATATACTAAGAGGTGAAGAAGAGAGCTTGAGAAGCATGAAAGAACGGCAAAAGTCAAAACTTCAGAGGACATATTCTGAAGAACTCTTAGATGCAGAAGAGTACAACTCAACAAAGTTTTTGAATGAGAGGGATAAACATTTAGAGACTATTCTAGGCTCCTGCAACTCTCTTACAGAAGAAAGAAATAAAGACTAGATTATGAGTTGTGATTCAGATAATGTGTGTGTACATGGAACTGCAAGAGCAGTGATTCATTTGCAGAATGTGAACTAATTTCACTTGAGGATCCAGAGCTGGCCAGAACATGGGTTGAAGAGGTTAACAAAGACACAAAAGAAGACAGAGGAAGAACCTCATGTGGATGTAGCTTGTTAATTAGTCAATAGTTTTTTCAATTAAAATGATGATGATGAAGTTAGGATGTAATCTGTGAGGCCCACTTATCCCTTCAGGATGGTTGCCTTTGATGGGTATTACATTTTTCAGCAAGTTGTTTAATCTTTCAATTGTAAACATAAGCAGATCTATCCAAGAAAATTTCCTGAATTTGTTCATTTTGTGTTAAGTGATTTTGTTGTATTTAATATGCTGAATCTTCCAGAAACTAATTTCTCACCTGTAGCTTTTCAAACGTTTATATTTTTGTTAGCACTTTCAGTGTGTAACGTGACACAATTTTACATTGTGGAGTTAAATTTTTTTCAAGTTGTATTAAATTTGTCAATCCATTGCTTAGGCCAAACACCCCATAGCAAACAAAACCTCTATTTTGTTCATCTACACATACGAGAATCAATCAAGAATCTAACCATAAATAGTCTTTGCAAAGTCCTTGTAAACAGCCACTTCAAACCTATAACCATAATATGATATATAAATATTCTATCACCATCTATTTATTATCTTCCATCTTTTTTTTTTTTTTTTCTGTCATGTCATATTACCTATCAAATTTATTATTTATCTTTTCTCTATTTTTATTTCTCTCAAGATGTGATTTTTTATGAACATTTTGTTATGTATTTACATTTTATTGGTGCTTTGATTTGAAAATGAGAGTTTAGAAAAAAAAAATCTGATTTTTTAAAATAATCTTAAAGGCGAAAACAATAAAAACTTGGGAGTTGGAATTATGATTTACTCTACTATTTAATATTGGTGTTATAGTAATAAGTAATTAAATAAAATTATTAATAAATACTTTAAGACACAATAAAAATAAAAAAATTGTCAACGTATCTTATCATGATTTTTAATATAATTTTATTATTTTTTTAATCTACATTTAACAAAAAAAATGACAAAGGCCTTAAAAAAGTCAAAGTGTCATTAACAATTTTGTTAAACCTTAAATTAAGAATTAATTTGTGTAAACTTTAGAAGGAAAAGTGTATAGTTACTTGGAATTGGAAAGAAAGGAAAGAAAAATGAATATGAGTAGGGATTGGGGTGTGCTTGTAGCGTTGGCGTTGATCTTGCAATGGCATGGAGCGTGGAGTTCCTACGCTGGTTCAGCAACTGCCATAATCGATCCTTCCAAGGTGAAGCAAATTTCATGGAAGCCAAGGTCCGTGTTTCTATATATGTTTGCTTACGAAACTCAATTCGGATGTGAGTGAATGATAGTGATTTGGATTGGTTCAGAGCTTTCGTTTATCAAGGTTTCCTCACGGATTTGGAATGCGACCACTTGATTTCCATTGCTAAATCGGAGCTCAAGAGATCTGCGGTGGCCGATAATTTGTCTGGAGAGAGCAAGTTGAGTGAAGTCAGAACAAGCTCTGGCATGTTCATTCCCAAAAACAAGGTTACCTTCACCTCTCGCTATATATATATATATATATATATATGCTGTGAAATCTGTGTAGTTATGCTTCTTGGACTAGTTTTTGTTTCAATTATTTTCTTATTTGCTTTTATGTTAAGCAATTTTATAAATTTTGTGTTCTGGGAATTCTATTTGATTTTGAAGGTAGAAATTTGTCTTTTATGGGTTGTGGTGTTACATGTCAGATGACAAAATCTCGAATTTGTGGGTTAAAAGGTATATAGAAGTAAGAGGATTTTTTTGTGGGGTTAAAAGAGGGTCATGGGTTTAAATTATTTAGGTTTTTAAGACAAACAGATCACTCAAACTAAATTTTACTCTTTCTTACACTTCTGAATTGGGTCTGCATTCAAAATTCTAATATTAAATATAGCTCTCGTCTTTTCCTTGTTATGAAAGAGCAAATCTGTAAATAAGTGGTATAGGAGAATAGCTTGGTGAGTCAGGGAGAATGTTTTGATTGGAGTTTGTAAGTTGTCTTAGTTTTGAGAGCTTGTGTAGATACTATGGGGGTCTTTTGATTTTTCTGTTGTTTGAACTTTGATGGCTTTGGCTTCAATTTTTAATTCATAAAGAATAAAAATTAAAAATTAAAAAACTGTGCTAAGTACTTTCTAAGTTTCTATGAACTTTTTTGAACTCTCTGAAGTTATTTTACAGGATGCCATTGTTGCTGGTATTGAGGACAGGATTTCTTCATGGACTTTTCTCCCAAAAGGTTTGGCAAATATAAAATCCTATTGAAAATTTGCATGGTATCATTGTAACTGATGTGGAACTTATATCTTTGTCCTGCTGATACTTTTGTTGGTTTTTCTCCTTCAATGTGTCTGAATTATACAAAAACAACTTATTGTTTGGCCTGAAACACTAACATTACAAGTAAATAAGAGCTCTGCATTATGTGCTTTAAAATGAAGTACTTTAAAGTTTAAACAAAGGCATTGAAAGACATAAGAAGAAATCAGCTCTATACTAATCATGAATGGGTTTACTTGTTGAATAGAACATGGGCAGAATATTTGAGGACTGAACTATGATGCTGATTTTGGGGTTTGGATCTATCATGATTTGCAAAGCTTTTTAAATTTTGGGATTCATTCCCTTCCATCTGCCTGCCTACAACATCCCTACGAAGTTCCTCTTTCCTGTTTTCTTATTCTGCACATTGGGAAAGCCCTATTGTGAATGTGATGCTTGGAATTGTTTATTGCAATTCTCCATTCCTCTAAGCTTCTACTAAAATACCACCATGAACTTCTTCAAACTTAGCCCAATTAAATAAAGGAATCTATTATCATTAAATACTTTAAATAAGGAAATTCTTGTTGGTGATTGCATTTAGTGACTGTTTAGTACATTTTTACTTAAATATCAGTTTAGAAGGTTTTAAACTAGCTCCATTAAATTATTTTCTGTGCTAATTTTCTATTTTTAGCATTGAATTTAGTTTTCGAACAAGCCCTACATTATTTGTCTTGTCTATATAAAATACAATTTTATTAACATCAATTCTTAGAGTTAATGTTAAGGACACAAAAGTAATATATATATATATATATATATATATATATATATATATATATATATATATATATATATTGTTGAGAATATATATATTGTTGAGAATCTCTGTATTTCCATTATTAATATAGTTACCATCCTTTCCTTTTATACAAAAATCTTATTGATTATGTAAATAAGGTAATTAGAGGTCAGTTGTAATTACTCGGTCAATCTCTATAATCAAAGGATTCAGTTTATACAGAATGTAATTATAAGCACTGTTGAATGACAATGAGTAGACTTAGATTTTACCCTAATTAGTTTTTATGCTTCTGTCTCAAGTATATAAGGAAACAAATGACTTTTGTATTTCCAATATAATAAATTCCTTTTTTTCTCATAAAAGCTTTCCACATTTGTATCCTTAACAAACTGTAAAAATAAGTTGTTTTTCAATTGAATACTTAAATGCTTTAATTTTTTTTAAAATTTAGCCTTTCCATACGTCTCAATATTGACTTCAAAAGAAGTTGAGTATATGGAAAGACTGTAAGGCATCACCTCCCCCCCGCACCTCATATTTTTTACCTGGGCATGATACCCACTAAGCATTCAATTGGCTACTGGTTGTATTTAATAGAAATTTAAACATTTGTTATAAAACCAACACTCAATAAATGCATGACAACTCACTGTAAGTGCCATATCCAGCTGGTACCATAGCAACTTCCAAGAGTGAAAGAATAGCTTATTCATTGTAAATTGCTAGTATCTTGTACTAATAATCTCCGTAGAGTCACAAACCAACAAAACTATCTTCATAAATTATAACTATTTTGTATGATCAGTCTAGGGTTTTGAACACATAATGGAAATGCATTTCATGCTTTCCTCCCTTCCCCCTTAAAGAAAAAGAAAAAATACAAGGAGGCAATAATCAATTCTTTACAATATTTGATTATTGAATTTCAGAAAATGGAGAAGACATACAAGTATTAAGATATGAGCATGGGCAGAAATATGACCCTCATTATGATTACTTTGCTGATAAAGTTAATATAGCTCGTGGTGGACATCGAGTTGCCACAGTGCTTATGTATCTTACTGATGTGACCAGAGGCGGTGAAACAGTGTTCCCTAATGCAGAGGTTTGTGTAGTTTTTAATGCACATCCTTCCATAGAAATAAAAACCATTGCTGTTATAATTTGTCCATTTATTTTTCTTGGCATCTCCTTAAATGGCCTTGGAAGTCTAGCTTGGATCCTTCATTAGTTCTACACTTTTCTTGTGTCAACTGAACCTATCTGTATAAATTATTCATTACTTAAGTTAGCCAAAATGTCTTGTTTGAGATTATATATACGTTGGAGTTTCTCTGATCTTTTCCCTAGATGCTCATAACTTTTGTGACGATATTTTAAGCCTAGAGACTGAGCCAAAAATTGTAGGAGTTCAAAAGTTCGTACATCATTGAGACCTCTTTACGGTATACTCAAACAGGTAGTTGCTTATATTTTGACGGTACTCGTAGAAGATGCCTAAAACAATTAATTTGGGAAAGGAGAGGTTGAGGAGATGCAATATTTTCTTCAATATGATATTCTGATTTCCTGTTCCCTCTTTCTATCTCTTTGGTTTTTTCCCCTTATCTAGTTTCTTAGCTGAAGGGTCTCAACATTCTTTATTTTGCTAAGGAAATTGTTTCTACCTTTTATTTCCAGCAGCTAACTTCGGTTACTTTATTCTGGTTACAGGAATCTCCACGTCACAGAGGTTCTCAAACATATGATGATCTCTCTGAGTGTGCCAAAAAAGGAATAGCAGGTGGGCAACTGGACAAATATTTACACTTGTGGTTTTTCTTCTGTATTATTGTCTGTCACATTTGATGTCTGTCATGTTAAATAATAATTTTTCTTTCCTTCCTCATCCGGGCAATTCAATTTGATAGTGAAACCGCAAAGAGGGGATGCACTTCTTTTCTTTAGTCTCCACCCAAATGCTACCCCAGACCCTATTAGTCTACATGCAGGATGCCCTGTAATCGAAGGTGAGAAATGGTCAGCAACAAAATGGATTCATGTGGACTCATTTGATAAGATGGCGGGACCTGGAGGGGACTGCTCAGATCAGCATGAAAGCTGTGAGAAATGGGCTGCGCTTGGTGAATGCACTAAGAATCCTGAATATATGGTTGGAACTCCAGGCCTACCTGGCTACTGTATGAGAAGTTGCAAAGCATGTTAGAAGTTTTACTCAATTCCACGATACTTTTGGCACTGACTTGCAAATTTCTATCTGTTCTCGATTTGTATTACGTTGTTTTTTTTCATGGGTTGTAATGCATTCTGTCTCATCATAGTGGTTACCCTTCGGATAGTGTTCTAGTGCCATGACCACACTTAAAGAGGTACGTTTATGAGTTGTGAAGTTGTAATGGTAGGTAATGCGGGATTCACCATTTTTACCTTGTACGTAAAATGAAAACAAAGGAAGTAAACGTTATTTTCTACACTGTGTGGTTTCCCTCGTTCTTGTTTTGACAATTTGTACGGTTAATTGTTTTGGTGGAATGTTAATATATACTAAAGGGATTCGATTCGAGACTTCCTAAACTTAGTTGGGGTTTGAAATTGAACCAAGAGAAGCAGAATCTTCGCTTATTACTAAGTAGGGATTTTACAGTCTGCATCAAGAGTCATTGTAAATTTACAGTAAACTGTGTTTGTGAACCTTATTTTAAGGAGAAACATTTTTTTTCTTGCAACTGTGGGTTATGGCAGAAAGAAAAACAAAAAAGGAAAAGTGAAAGTACAAGGAATAGTAACATCATAATTTAACCAAGTGATTAAAAGTGATTTTTATTATAAAATATTATTAATATACTCGCACCGTAATTTATAATGTATTTTAGTATGATTTAAAAAATATACATTTATTATAGCAAAAATAAACATATTTACTAAATTTTTAATTACTGCCTTAAAAATATTGGTTAGCAATTTTTTTAATTAATTAGTGATTATTTATAAGTAGAAACTAAGAATAACTATTGAAAATATAAATAGATGAGATTTTTTTTGTTGTTTTAACCGCAAATAAGAGTATTTTGAGGATAGAAGAAAATGTTGCTGTGGGCCAACAACGTCGGATGACCATTTTTAATTTAATCTGTTCTTTTTATTATCAATTTGGCAGATTTAAATCAGTTTAATTTGGTTTTAAACAGTCCTCCTCAACTATACATCTTATAATTAATATTTTTAACTCGGTTAATTCAAGTTTAATGATTATATTTTGTAGGGTTAAAAAAAATAGTCTTTTACTGGCTTCGTAAACCTTTCAAATAACAAGGGGAGCAACCGTAGGCGAAAAATGAATGTAGGAACAAAGTTATCTATAAACATACAAATTAACAAATTGCTTTATTAGTGTAAACATTCCATGGTAACTTGATAGGGGGGGTTGAAGAAGGTTTCGTGATAACTTGTGGCATGTGCATGGAGATTTAAAGCAAATAATATAAAGGCATGCTTTTTAGCTGTTAAACATGAATGGGTTGTTTTTTATTTGTGAGTTCTTGTTGGGAATGTTTAGGTGTTAAGTTATGGATGCCATGACAAAACTGTTGTCCCAATAATGAGAGGGGAATGGAAAAGCAAATGTAGAAAGAATTGATGATAAAGACAGTTGTTGAGTGCATAGCCCTCCAATTCTGAATGAGTCGTTTTGTCATGGCAGAGACGAAGCAAAGGAAAGAAGAGAATCATGTCAAATCAGAGGAATGAGAAAGATGCCCCCATGTTTTGTGGTCCTCATACTCCCAAGCAAATGCTCCAAAAGATTCATCCTCCTCTCCCTGCATAATGCATGGCACTTTGCACCTCATCCCTACAACCCCCACAAATTTTAAATCAACTTCAATATTTAATTCATCATTAATATATATAAATTTACCATTTTTTTTTGTCTTTTTATTAAGTGGTCATAGTTAGCTCTCCACATTCTCTCTCTCTTTCTATAAGACAACTAATATTCAGATAAATATCTTATTAGTTTATATATTCTTAGAAGTTCTAGAAAGTTAATTTTTTAGATTTTGAAAAAGTAAATTATATGTAACTTATTAGAATATACTTATTTAATTTTTATAATAATTTTTTTTATGTAAAAATTTCTCTAAAAGTTTCCTTAAATAAGAAAAGGCCATTTGTTCTTATAAAAAATATTTATTAACTGCCTAATTGTTTTCAAAGTTCCCTCATAGTACCCTTGCCTGCAAGTTAGCATTGGGAGCACAAAAATTTCTTGATAACCACATTATATGGATTTGTATTTGTTAGAATGTGAAACAATCACACTATGAGCTAAAATACAATACTTAATTATGTTTTCGGTTTTCAAATATTTCATATATTTGTTTATTTTATCCTTTATTTTAATATTTTAAATGATTTTTTATATAAACTATTTTCTTGACCAAATGATCCTTTTATAGTTTCCATTTTTTATTTAGTTCTTTAAAATGTTACAGGTTTTCTTTTTATTAATGCCTCTAAATATTATGACTTTTATATTTGGTCATTCTCAATATTACTTATTTCTCATTTGATCAAGTCAGAACCTTTTGATATTTAGAGAAATTAAAATTAAATAAAAGGATTATTTAATAACAAAAAAATTCTATAAAAGGAACAGAAAACTTAATTAACCCAATATATAATTTAGTTCTTAAAACATGTTACTCATATAATTTATTATATGAGCTTTTGTTTTTGTCATTAAATAAAATAGAAGGATTTTTCTCAAAATAAATTTATATGCATAAACCTTATCAAAATTATAGAATTTTTATATCCGTTGAAACTATAATTCATTATACTTTGTTTTTGAAAATTAAACTTAAGATCTGGTAAAGCCATAGAGAATTAATTAATATAAAGAATAACAGGAACATGCATGTGAGTGATGCCAATGTGGTGAGAAACAAACTCAAACTTCTGAGATCTCAAATAAAGTCACGTTTTCCTCTTTCGTATTTTCTACGCTGTCCTTGTTTTCTTTTATTGTATTAATTCCTATTTTTTAATTAACTGTATTTAAAAATTAGCTTTTAGATTTATACTTATGTATAAATACTCATATTTAATTTGCTAGTTCGTGAGACAAAGTTATTACCAAACAACACTAATCATGTCAATATTTTAATTACTCTTCCCTCCCTTGAAAAATGTTTTATTTACGTTTTTCAGATTTTTTTTATTAACAACTAATTTTAAACATCATATTATTAATTTAGTATTTTGGAAGATATGATGAAGTTTTCAATATTTCAATTATCAGCTCTAAATTATTGTTCAATATTTGATTTTATCTTTTAAGGTTCAAAAAGTAATAATAGATATTAAAAAATAATTATTAATCATGTTGAAAATCGCTACAATAGAAAAAGTTTCACTAAAAAAAACTCATTTAAATTAAATTTCAAATACATGTTTATCTTTTCTTTTCTTTTTTTATTTAAGGAGAGTTTATGTTTTAAAACAAGAGTGGACAAGAGTATAATATAACTCTCTCATAAAGAATGCAATTTACCCTTTAATAAAATACAGTACAATACTTGAATTTTTCGGTCTAAATAAATTAATTTATAATAAAATATTTGCAAACAATACATGGAATTACAATTTTTGAATTAACTTATTCATTTTAACAAAACTCAATTAATATAAAGATTAGTTGGTTTGAATTCAAAAAGTCTTATTTATTAACAAGTAAAAATTTCAAGTGTTAGAATAGTTTTGTTGTTATAGTATTTGTCTAATAAAAAATATATTATTAGTATACATATTTTAAAATTATGCTTACATTATTAGTACAAATGATGTTACTTTTACGTATTTAGATAAATACTAACCAATATATTTATGATATCAATTGTGAAAGAATTTTTATTTTAATTTCATAACAAATATCTTAACAATACATATAATTATGAACGATTATTTTAATATGTTTAAAAATACATAATAAAAATAATTAAAAATTATAATGTTTAACATATTAATTTTTATAATTTTTAAAAATCATCATATATAAATTTTTAAAATGTAATCTTAAATAATTATTAATAATAATGAAATTTTATTAAAAATTTTACTATAATTTTATAAATTTAATATAAAAATATAATACTTTTAAACATTTAAATTTAATTTTAAAAATTAAAATTATTAAATTTTATTATATGTACTTAAATTAAACTTACATTAATACAAAGAATGAAATTATATTAAATATTTAGAATAAAAATTTTACTGTTTATAATAATTTTGATATGATTTTTCTCAGCTTTTTTATCATAATCAAATAAAATAAAATTACATAAATGTCCTGTTTAGCATTTAAAAGAAGACGATTTAAATTGATTTCTTTTGAAAATGAAAAATGATTTGAATCGATTTCAGTTTGTTGTGCACTGTGCCATATTTGCTTCTACAAAAGTCAATTTTAATCAAATGTGATTACTTTTTAAATATGAAAGTCGATTTAAATCAATTTGAGTGTAGAGAAGAAGTCAACTTGAATCAACCTCAATACAGAGAAAAAGTTGACTTTAATGTAGAAAGGAAATCGACTTTAGTACAAAAAGAAAGTCAACTTGAATCGACTTTAGTGCAAAATAGACGTTAATTTGGATCGACTTCAGTGTAAGATAAATTGACTTGAATTAACTTTAGTGAAAGAAAAAGTTTAACTTCAATCGACGTATAGGCAATGTAATTCGATGATTGAATGTAGTTAAGTCAAAACATCAGCATTTAACATGAAAAGTGGATTTAATTAACATTATCTAAATGTATAAAGTCTATTAAAATAAATAAACAAATTACTATAATACGAATCAACAATTAAAACTTTTAAAATATAATTAACACTCATTAAATTTAAATTTATTTTAATTCATTAAGTTATAATTTAAATGTTTACTTGCCTAAAACTATAATTGTTTAATTGATTGTAATAAATAGTAAAAATCATAATATAAAATATACTAATAGTCTTATAACCTACACTTAATTAAATATGTAAAAGACGTTTATACAATATATGTAACAGTCATTTTAATTAGATAACTAAATATTTAATGATAGATTAAATTAAAAAATTCAGATAAAATTATATAAATTTTTTAAACTTTTACACGACAGTTTACTTGTAATAAAATCAATAAAATTAAGTTAATTTTTTAAATTATTATTCATCTCTATTGTAGTTGCACTATATTTTTTTTTTCTCTTTCTTTCTTTCTGTTAATTCTTCTCAAAGATATTTCTTCTTTTCAAGGTAATCATGGCGGATAGGTAACACGTCTAAATTGATTGTAACTTCTCCCTCACCAAAGTAGATTCAATTTGACTTCCTCCCTATACTGAAGTCGATTCAAGTCAACTTTTTCTTTTATATTGAAGTTAATTTAAGTCAATTTTATCTGTGTACTAAAATCAATTTAAGTTAATTTATTCTCTACAATGAAATCGATTTAAATTGACTTCCAGTAAAAAAAGCAACCATAGTTGATTAAAATTGATTTTTATAAAATAAATTTACACAACAAACTGAAATCGATTCAAATTATTTTTTATTTAAAAAAATAATTTAAATCATCTTTTTTAAATGCTAAATATAACATTTATGTATTTTTTTATTAAAAGATATTTATGTAATTTTAATTTTATTTTATTTTACTATGATAAAAAAAGTCATTATTTTCAGTATAAAATATTATAGTTTAGGAAAAAAAAAAACTTTGAATACTGAATAGATAAGTTGGCATAAGTGTTGGGTGTTGAGTTGCGGAGGGAGGAAGTGGTGGTGGGGTCCCTCATTCTCCCACAAAAGAAGAAAGAAAGCAAAGCACAAAACCAAAATACAAACTCTCTCTCTCAGACATACACACACAACAACTGCATCTCTCTCTTTCAATAATATTAATAACTCCTTTCCCTCTGAAGATCTCAACTTCTACGTAACACAACCATGGATGTGGGTCAGATGCAGAGACAGTGCCTTGACTACACCAAATCCCTCTTCATGGAGGTAACACTAACACACTTATATTCAATTGCTAGATCTGTTGGGATTCCGCTCTTTCAATTCTTCGTTTTGTGCCTCTTTTTTATTTTTATATTTTTTCTTATGGTGAGAGAAGGGCTTCCTGGATGGTCAGTTTCTGCAACTTCAGCAGCTGCAAGATGAGAACAACCCTGACTTTGTGGTTGAAGTAGTGTCTCTCTTCTTTGAAGATTCTGAAAGGCTTCTCAAAGATCTCACCTTTGCTCTGTCAGTATTACTGCTACTACTACTACCCTTCCCTCATCACTTTGAACTCGGAATGCTGTTTATTAGACATTGTTTTCTTTCTTTTTTTTTTTTTTGTTAAGTCATGACTTTGGAAAAGTGCATGTATCTTAATGTTCTTGGGATTTTTCCTGTGCAGTGATCAGAAAGGTGTTGACTTCAAAAAAGTTGATGCTCATGTTCACCAGTTAAAGGGTAGCAGTTCAAGGTATGGAATTTTATTAAAGCCAACCAAAAATGTAAAAACCCACAGAATCTGAATAAGTAGGACTTTTTGTGCCATTAAACTTTGTTTGCCCTCTCCCTGCAATGCTGGTGTATTTATTGGTTTCTAAAAGCAAGTAGAGTTTTATTCTCTAGAACTTATAAAGACTAAATTAAAGCTAAATTAGGAGAAACTGGGAGCTCATGCCACTTTGTTTATTATTAAACTATGCTACCTTTTCTTGGTTTTGATTTGATAAATTTTGTTTGTTTGGTCCACAGCATAGGCGCTCAAAGGGTAAAAGATGCCTGCATTGCATTCCGCAACTTCTGTGAGGAGCAGAACACAGATGCGTAAGTTGTTAATCTTCAGACAAAGGTGTTTGATAATTATGGCCTTTTGAAGAATGAGTGCGAACGTTTGAATTACTAACTCAACTGCTAGTTTAGCTAATTTCATGTTCTGATCATCGAAATTTTCTAATTACTGCAGGTGCCACAGATGTCTGCAACAAGTGAAGCAAGAGTACTGCCTTGTTAAGAACAAGCTTGAAACACTGTTCAGGGTAACTAGATAGAAAATTTTTTCTGAACAACATTCTATTACATTCTAGGATTTGTAGTTGATATTTTTTATGGATACTTGTTGCAGCTTGAGCAGCAGATTGTAGCAGCTGGTGGGTCAATCCCTCCTATGATGGAACTGAGTTTCTAGGTGGGTTAATGGGCGGGCTTGTAGAGGTGCTTGTATTATGATCCTCTTCTCCGTTAGAGAGTATCTATCTTGTGTCCATTGTGAGAATGTATGGGTTTTTATGAAGAGAAAAAGCTTTCATCAATGTACTTTTTTCTTCACCAAAAAGCACTCCATCATAGTTTGTAATCTCTTGCATGGTTTAATGAAGGATGTTAGCACCACTAATGAACTTGCCTTATTTTCTCTCACAAAAAAAGGAAGAAAATTTGTAGTGCGAACAATATACTCTATGAAATTATAGATGCAACGATGGATTGTTCTTTCATTAGACTTACCTGAAGTGATATGAGGTGGAGTAGTGATGATGATGCATTACATGGCTATGGTCCATAAGCCAATAGTTAGCATCCCTTGGTTGAAAGAGTTTAGTGGAATAAGCTAATGGAGACGTAAAGTTACTTTATTTTGGAATAAGAAACAGGTAAGGACGGCAAATAATTATTTTAAATTGGTGTGCGAGATAAGAGGAATCCTGAGAAGATATGATTCTCTAGAAGTCAAATCATGATGTAGTGGTGTTGTCCCTTTGTCTGCACCTTAATGGAGTAAATCTCGAAATTGAATGAACGCTGAACATGGCCATAGCAGCAAACATGGGCATTTTTTAATTTTGATGTTGATATTCTTAGGATGCCTATCCTCAAAGATAAGACATGCCAACCCAACAGTGGTGTCAACTCAAACGGCACGCTCACTAACGTGGAGAAAATTTTTCGATTTCTGTTTAGATCGAAAAATATACATGACAAGTAACCGATATTGACGACTGAGGCTTTAAACCTGAATATTATATTTAAAAGTTGATGCTTTCTTTTCACGGTTGACATAAAAATGATCAAATTTATGATCTATGGCAGTACATTGTTTCATCAACTTTGGTACTTTAGTACAATTATCATGTTGGAATATAAATGGTAATTACCAGAAGATGAGAACCAAAAGGGTTTCAATATAGGTCAGTTTCTTGTATTCTGCTTTTTAAGTCTTCATGCTATCCTAAGATGTTTTTAAGTATTTATTCTTTTCCTACATTAAACTTGAGAGTCTATATTAAAACTCGAAGAATATCAACCACACAATAAAAACTAGAGTGCATAAAATAAGCAAAGATGTGCTACTTTGGACAGAGTCACGAACAAGTGCCCTCTAGCTTTTATCCAGTGGATGACTCCATTTCCTTCTCTGTTCTTCAAAGCTTCCGACCTTAGCCGATTGGTTCCAGTCACCAAGCCTGTCTGCATACATCTCATGATAAGCCTTGGCATTCACATCGCTTAAAATTCTGACTAATTTTCCATTTTCCCTATCCACCACCATTTTTCCATCGGTGGACACATCCCCATGGGCCAAGACTTTAATGGGTTTGACCTCAAATTTTGCATTTAGGCTTGAAGAGATATTGTCTAGGACAACAGCACCTAGAATTTCCCCTAAGAATGTATCCTGCAACAATATAAAAACAAACTTACTAAGTAGAAGAAACAAAGTAGAAAACTAAATGATATGTGTTATGTTGAAGTTATGACGTGAAGAAAGGTGATTAGTTATGAATATGAACTTATACCATATGATGATATCTGTGGTGGATTTGCTTCAAACGATATAGCCTTATCAATAAACGCTTGGAAAACACAGCTTCAGGTGTTTTTTCTATCCTATGCAACCAGTTTAACATACGTGAAAAGGAACTTGCTTTGTGCTGGACACTGAGTGGAATGAGTGTGATGTTAACTTCTGATTGAAATAGTGTCTTGGTTGCTACAGGATCCAGGAACATATTAAATTCTGCATATTGGTTGGAAGGAACAGAAAAGATATTTCCTTTGTCACATGCATTCTTGCTGATGTGTCCCCCCACAACATAAACCTCCTGAAACATTTTGTAACTGTTATGTCATGTCATCGATGCATATTATAATCATCTTAACTACATTTCTACCCTGACATGGCAGAATGAAGTTAGAATATTCAATTTCAATGTTTACTTTTAGCTAAAATAAAACTTTCACCAAAATAATAAGAACATTATTCTGGGGCTACTCTTACATTGACTTTATAGAAATCTTATCGTTCTTGCTCATTTTCATAAAATCACTACTATTCTAAAAAGTTAAAAGATAATTGTATAACAAAATAACTTACCCGAATTATTGAGCTAATGTTTTCCAATGATACAACCTTTGCCAAATTAGTCAAGGGTCCATTGGTTAATACAGTAATTTTAGACCCTGGTTCCGATGTTTGCAATATAGATTCCCAAATTTCCATAGCTAGTGGTTGTCTTTGTTCAGGGTGATCAGTATTCCGAGGAGCCCCAAACTTCACAGAGTTTTCAGATGTATATCTGAGACACAAGCCAAAGCGTTAGTGTGTTATAAAGCAGTGAAAGCTCACAAATTGATATATTGTGTAATTTTTCAAAATTTTTGTACCATCGTTTACACTACTTTCCTTGCATATGAATTGAATATTTGCACAAGCTACGTACACACATAATGAGTCCTATGAAAGAAATAAAATGGAAAAACTTTTACATGACAAAATTGGTGTGAGAATAATAGGACTCTTACTATGCAGGTGCTATGTATTTTAACATTTCCATCAATGCAAACCTACCCCACGTGATCTCTAATGTTGATGTGACTATGATTATCGTGTTAAATTTTTGTTGTGTTATACTACATCAGTAAAAGAGACAAAAAAGAGAGTTAAATTTATAAAAAATTAGACACTAATATTTTTTGAGAAATAAAATTAAAATATCACAAAAATTTAACAAGTAAAAACATATTGGAGGCTTTCAATATTGCTGAGTGATTATTCTTCTTCTAAGCATACAATTTAGATGCAAGACTTTAAATATTTTAACATTATTTTAGCTTAAAATTAGAGTTTCACCTTAAAAATTAATATCAGTCATTAATATTATCTTGATTATGTTGATTATCAAAATAAAACTCTAATTTTAATCAGAAAACATAAAAAAAATTAAAAAATTTAAGTTTTATATAAGGTAGTGCATTATTTGAGTGGTAATAGCAGCTTCCATTCCCCACATTACGATCATGATTTCAATAATTTTCTTACGCATCATAATAATGTTGATGAGAAGTATTATTAAAGCATGAAAGTAACTGGAAAGCACCTTCTGGGGCTACGTGGTAAATCACGAGCAAGTCCATAAAGAGTGTCAGAGTCCAAAAGCCCACCATTTCCGTGGGGAATGGCTTTAACATACTTGCAGTCTCCAATCTGATTCATAGCAAAAACGTCACCAAGACCAACTGGGATATCGTCACGACCCATCATGTGCAGTAAGTCATAGACCACATCTATTGTTGCAGCATTTGCCCACCCACTTGGGCTCACAATTATTGCCTGAACCAAAAAGTGCTGCTGTCTCAGTCCATCTCTCTATAATTCACTTGTGCAAAAATATTTCATTCACCACAATAAATCATGCATCTCATACCAACTTTACACTACTCCACAAATTACAAGTATAAAACTTCTTCCTTGATCATACAATTGTCCCTCTCCCCAAAATTTTGTGAAAAAAAAAGGCTTTATTTAAACCACTCCTTTAAATTAATTTCAAGTATACAAAAGTAATTTTTTTATACTTTTGTATTTTGATATAATAAATATTTCATTTTTGTTAATTTCTGTTCTTAAAATTGAGTTTAAGTATTTAAAAATTGTAAATTTTTATTCAAAAAATATGTTTATTACATTAGAGACATAAAAGTATGATTTTTTTTAAAAATAAAATCTTAACATTATTGGTTGTTTAAACTCAATCTTCAAAAATATTTACTTTTTCAATATAATATCACCATTTTTGGATGATTAAAATCACCTTTACATGTGAATGTTAATAATTTTCTGGAAATAAAAAGAGTAAAAATGCTCTTAACTTAGAAAGAAGATTGTGAAGAGATTTTCATTTTGGCACATTTTCCATATTTCGGTGTCAATATTTAAGTTAACGTAGAACATCTAACTAAAGAAACCAAAATCAGAATACCTTAAGGTTTATCACTTCAACAGGAACTTTAAGGAGGTAAAATAGAGCAAGAAAATCTCCTGCACTCATGTCCATGTCAAACACAACAGGTTTCCCTAGTTGTTTGTTTAGAAAATCTGGCCTGTAAGTTACTTCTTCGTAGTAAGGAAATTGTGTAGTGAAGTTGAACCTCCCAGAATATTGCTGTTGCTTTAGAACCTTTGCAGCAGCAGAAATAAAACAAAATTCAGATGCTAATAACAGAATAATAGTCAGCAAAAATAATTAACTGATGTTTTCCTTCTAAAAAACAATTTTTTTTTTTAATTCTGTTAACTTTAGTTCTTAGGACTTAGTTTAAGCTTTTAAAAGTAGTAATTTTTTTTGTTAAAAAAATATATTTATTATATTTAAGTTATAAAAATTGTGATAAACGAGTTAATTTTTCTTACTTAAATACCATACAAAATCGAATCGAAGAAGTTTGCAAAAAAATGAAAATGAACTTACTTTCAAGAAGCTTTTGAAATATTCTCTGTCAAGTGGACTCTCAACATCTTGGTTAGGCTTTGCTTTAGTGGCGACAAGTACCTTCACTGAGTCTGAACCATTCACCTCCAAAGTATAACCGTCCTATATAGTACATTTTGCAATAAATAAACACAAACATTATCTAAATGCATGCATGCGTGTTTGTATAATCCTAAAGTTGCAAGGAAAAAGAGAAGCAAATACCTGACATCTCCCTTTTCCATTCTTCACAAAGCAAAACTGATCTCTAATCCCTTGTTGAACATGACCACTATGCACCCCACCTCTCTTTAGATTAAATTTAGGAACTTTAAGGCCATCAAATAATGGGTTAGAGCCATCAGATATACCATAAGGTTTGTTTGAAGTAATTACAGTTATGTTTATATATTCCATATCAGCAAATTCATTTTCCACTTGATTTTTATTGGAATTTCTCATGCTTGAGATTGCTACACCAGATGTGAAAGAGTCCCACATAAAATAACTCTGTCAATAATGAGTCATGGTCAATATATATTCCTTGTTACTCCACCAAACAAAAGATATGTTAATAAGTGAAAATCATGGTATACAAAATTTATTAAGAGATTACCGTATAGAATTGGTCATTGAACCAAGTATCACGAGCCATTTTCAAGGACTTGAAACAATATTGTGCTTCATATGTGTCTTGACTCTTTTCAAATTCATCAAAAAATTCTTCAGTGATGGGGATTGTGTTTGTTGCATCAAGAGGAACAAGGGTAACAGGTATACCAGAATGTATCACCTAAAATTACATGTACTTTTTGGTCAAGAACCAAACGTATCTATGCATAAGCTGAACCTTCAAAAAACTGAATGCTCAGATGATTACTGTTAACCACTATCATTTACTTAACAACGACATTGTTCAAAACGAATTCAAATAAATTATAATATAAATAAATAAAACACTAATGCCATCATAGAAGATTTACAATATCGTAAATTTACTGAATTTGAAGTTTTTTTGGTATAAATGTTTGTGTATTATTTGTGAAACTAATAATAGTTGGAGGGGCCCTTTAATAATAACTAATACTCCAGAGTTTGAGACTGACCTGGTATGCTGCAAAAGGGTCTCCAAACATATTGAACTCAGCATAAGGGTTAGATTCATAACCTGTGTATAAATTGCCATGATCACCACACTGCGTAGCTATGCAGGAAGAGGAAGAACTTTGGGAGCAACAACCATTTGGGTTTCTTGACCTTACTCCACCACCCATGATGTAAATATGCTCCACATTTTTCCTTAAATGTGGATTGTTCATAAAGAAAATACCTATGTTTGTATGCACTCCTATCACAATCAAAGTTATGGGACCTGCAGATATTTTTTCAATCAGCACTTGCTGAGCGCTTGGTTGTCGTAGGGGAGTATATTTCCTTCTCCCCTAATGGAATCAGCAAGAAAATGAGCATCAGTATTTAAATTACAAAAAATTGAATCAATTCAATTGCAATGTAATTTTAAACATTTCAACTCTTAGGTAACCATTATGTTGACACTGGCATGAACTTTATTACCAAGGGAAAAATGTTGGGATTTCAACATTATTTTTTGGTATTATGGTAAAGGTTTATTATACTAAATGCAGCATGTTCAAATTGATATGGTATATATTATTATACCTGTGGAAGGAAAGATTTCCTGATGCCAAAGTTAGTATCAATATCCAAGCGCCCTCCAAGACCAACAGGAATGGCCTGCCTGTATCTGCAACCTCCTGATGTTGTCATTCCCTAATTCAAGGAAATGGCATTTGATCTAAAATGTCAATCATGAATAGGAATATAACTTAATATTATGAACTCATTTATTTCTTGTGTTAATGTGTGCTCTATGTATTTCTAACAATTTGGAGGCTTACAAAATATTTAAAAAAGAAAAAGAAAAGGCCTCACACCATATTGTACTTACCTGTTCTATAATTGAAAGATATCCACCAACATTTGGGAGTATGGTACCGTTTGGGAGTATTCCACCCTCTCCTCCCATTCCCACCGCTATGTCATCCCTCCCCATCATGTAAAGTAAGTCATAAACTTGATTCACAGAATGCCCAGCATTAGTCCAGCCATTTGCATTGACTGTGACTCCCTGAAGATGCAGAAATAAAGACTCAAAACATCACAAAATTCCAATCCTTGAATGATAAACAAATGCACAAAATGGTTCACAACATAACCATCCAACAAGTCATGTCAAACATGCAATGTCAACTTCAGAAGATGGAATTGTCTGGATCTTACAACAAATGGAGAGAGACAGAGTACTATTGAGCATTGACAACTTCAAAAACACACCCTTATGACTTATCTAACCAAAACAGAGAGTACACACTTTTTACTATGCTAGTTACTTTATTAGGCCAACAGAAGCAGTAGTCAATCCCACCAGTAAGATTAGCCAAGAACAAAAAAATAAAAAAATTTCAATCAAGGACTAAACGATTCAAACACACAGCATAGTCAAAGCAATGATTCACAATGAAAAGCATAAAAAGGAGAAGGGAATCAATAATAAAGGCAACTTGTGTTGCTCAATTTGCTTTGGTTTTTGCTAACCTCCAATTGAAATTCTGATCTGTTGAGCTTCAAAAGGTAAAGGAGAGCAAATAAATCATCAGTATCAACATCTGTATCCAAAAGAATCCGACGGGGCTTGCCTTCCACACCATGCAAAGGACCTCCTAAAGTTCCCAACACAACCAATATCACAGCCACCCAGAACCTCATTGGAAACATTCTCTACAGTCAAATCCAAGAGTGACCCAGAATTCTCGTATGCTCAAATATGCAACATAGAATGAGAAAGCCTCAAAAAAAGCTGTGATCAACATAAAGTAAGAATCATGAAAAAGCATGCAAATAAAAATAAGAGAAAAGCCAAGTGTATGTGTGGAGGAATTGAAAGGCACGTAAATGAGGAGGTAGGAAGAGCTTAAGTAGTTTTGTTATAAAAGCGAAAATAAGAAGCAATTTACGTGTTCATTGGCTTTGTAGTGCATACTATATACTATACTATATGTTCATCTATTCTTCTGACAATCAACAGAGAAGGATAAAGAGACAAACAGAGAATTAATTAATTATGAAAAATCACTGTACGCTGAAAGAGTATCGTAGGATTGGGGGGTGACTCACGATCTGACTTTTGTTTAACTTTAAAGTTCAGTGCTATTTTATTCCATTCCTTTGTTGAATAACGTTGCAAGTGTACTTGTTGCTGTTTGGTCTTCCCTAAGGTGAGGCCAAAGAGGATTCACTTTTTTCTCATTTTCAAGATCCCCTTTTATATCCTCATCTTACAATTAAATTTTTATATGTAAATTAATGAAAAAATCTCAACTTAACTATGAGTAACTCTTGCTATTTATTTTATTTTATTTTCTACCTTCTTAGTTTTTGGTCTTTTGATGTTTTGAGTCGTTGATTTTGTTTTAAATTGTGGTATGTAATTGCAGTTGTGGTCACGACATTAAAGTTTTTAAGATTTTTTCAAATTACATCAAGACTATAATCGTGGTCGCGTCAACCATGTGTATGTATCAATAATATCAACGATCGTGATATAACTAGAATTATAATTGCGACCATAATTTTAAATCACAAGTGAATCTCTTTTTAAAGAAGGAAAATTTTTTATTTTAATTTGTGACATTATAAGAAAAACTTGCTTGAAATAGTAGATTATTTCTATTATTGATGAATGTAATTTTTTAAATCATTTACCTATTCGGGGTTAGTGTTGTCATGAGATGTTCGATAGTAAAAATCTAATATGTATAATTTTTTAATTTATAACACAAAAAATAAATGTTCTATGATCTTTTTATTTTATTAAGTCAATAAATTAAAATTAACTACACTATGGTATTAATACAGCATTTAGTTAATAAGTATGTAAAACTTTATACAATTTAAAAATATTTTATTTATAATGAATAACATGTATATATATTGTAATTAATTTTAGATAGCAACTTAAATATTTTGATTATATACTATATTGACCATTTGATGAAATATATTTAATAAATCTAATATATCAGACTTTTTAATTTATAATTTGTAATACAAAAGAATATTTTTTTATATTTTTTATTTTATTAAATAAATAGATTAAAATAAACTACAATATGGTATCAATACAGCATTACATTTTATATTTATTTAATAAAATAATTTTAAAAATTTTAAAAATTATTGCTTTTATTCATGACAATGTGCATTGTTTCATTACTACATTCATGACTTACAATGACTCATTACATTCTAAATATCATTAGATATTTTCAATAATAGAAGAATTCACTTACTCTAAAATTAAGTTTTAAAAATTTATTTTATTTACTAGCTTTTTAAACTGACGTAAGAACCATGTTTATAAATTGCATATTATATTAATGTAATTATCTGAAGAATTTTTAAATTATAACCTATGTATATATAAAAAGATATTCTCACATTAAAAATTGCACGCAAAAATATATTTCATACAATGTTTAGCCATTTAAAGATTAAATTAGAATATGCATTTAATCACCTCCACTTGTTGCTAATGCCTAAAGGAGATAGTCCAACAATTATTATATTTGAATTATTTAATTTAAAACTCTAATTTGGGGTTGTCTGTGCTCGCAACCTGCAATAATTATATTCTTAATAACTAAAACAGGTTGTGCGAGTATCAAATTCTATACTAAATGTAGTTTAAAAAAAGTGTGTTTTGTTCCCAATGAAAGAAATTAAAAGTGTCTTTACGATTTTGTCAAAAAGTGAACGTATTTTATAGATGCAATGGGACAGTAGCACTGCTTAGCATATTCTTTTCACTAAATGTAGCATTTCTGTGTAAAGTTGTTTTGTATGCTCCACCTGCATTCTTAATTAGACTTAATCACATATATTTTTTATTTAGACTGTATGCAAGTTTTTAAAGTTAATTCAATTTGTATAATTTTAAAATTAAATTTCAATCAGTAGATTGAAATTTTCTCTTAATTAAGCTTGCTGTTGCATTAATTGGTATAGGATAATTTTCATAATCTCAAACTTTTGCTTTAAATGAGGTGTTATTATATTCCCGTTTTGGACATTGTTACTGATTATAATGTATGATCGGCAGGAAAACTTCATCAATTCAATAGCTGTTTGATATGATTTTCAGGCTTTTTATTATAATTAATTTTATCTTTCTTTAATTCTTTTGATCACTTTCTTTGTTATTATGTATGCCTTTTTTTAGTTCTTTTAAGCTTTTTTTTAACGAATTAATTTCCTATACAGTTAAAATTATGTACTGTTTAAAGAGGGCAAATTTTGTATTTTGTATTTTTATTTCTGTTAAATTTGAAGCTTTAATTGGCTAGCTTTTAGTAAATTTTAATTGATAGATATTTTTTAGCAAAAAAATGAGAATTCTGAGTTTTATTTCAGCTAGAGAAATAGAGGATCGAATTTATCAAAATTTTTAAATAGAAGAATTTAATTAGCTAAAAATTAGAAGACTAATTATATATAATATAAATTAGAAGGATAAAAAAATATATAATTTAGCCATCTATTTTCTCGAGAATATTTAAATCTCTTAATCTATTATTTCTTAAAAAAGAGAATATGTCATTTTAACTAAATTTAATTTTTAAAAATAATTACGTATAATTTTCAATATTTTTATATTTTAATTTTTAATTTCAAACTAAAATTTAATTGAATTTAATTATATGCATATCATCTTAGCAATTTTAATTTTTCTTATATTTTGATATTTTATTTAAAATTTAAAGCATTTGTATAATGCATGAAATACTTGATAATTCATTTATGTACATGATATAGTTAAAAAGCCTAAAAAAAATTAGGTTTTTTTATTTGAATCACTGAAGATTGAGATCATATATAATAATATACATATTATTATTATTTTTTCTTTTTTATATGTAATTTTTAATTTCAATTTTTGAGATTATGTTTAAATTATTAATGATAGCAAAATTTTATTAAAAATATATTTATTATAATTTTTATGTTTAATGTAATAATTTTTAATTAAATTTAAAATTAGTTCTAAGAATTCAAGTTAACAAATTTGTAATATATAATATAAAATCTGTTTCAATAAGATTTAAATCATTTTAGACTTTTTGTTTTTATTTATAGAAACTTATACGATAAAAAGAGAGAAATTTACATTTTTTTCTACTTGTGTATTATAAATATTTTTTATTAGAAACAAACATGTTTAAATTTAGTAAGATAATTATAAATGACAAAATTCTCTTTATATATATATATAACTGGATTAAGTAGTAGATATTTAGGTTCTTTAAAGTATATTATTTATAAAAATATATATTTTATTTAGATTATATATTTGTATGATATTTTTTTGATAATTAACTAAACGTTTTTAGTACATGCCAGTGATGCCACAAAATATTATTATATATATTGAAGTTCGATTGTTTTGTACAGTAAGTAACAGTTTTATTTTTTAGTAGTATTTAATATAACTGTGTTTCCGCAGATGCCAAGGTAAAGGTTGAAAGTGTAAGAGTAAAAACAAAAATGATGGAAACGATTTTGGGTAATTAAATTTAAGAAGCAAAAGGTGTTATGCTTTCTGTGACAATCTTGCTTTTGGCCTTCGTTAACCAGCCTCATCAACTTTCAACACGTTAAAGTGTCTATCACTCTACTCTACTCATCTTTTTCAAAATTGGATCAAACCATATAATCAATCAAAAATCAGTTGAAGTTATTACTTACAAAAAAAAATTAAAACTTATTTTTAAAAAACAAAATTTAAATGAATTAATAAAAAGAGTTTAAATAAAGATAATTTTAACTCGTTTAAAAAAATTATAAGTTCGAATCAGTACAATTAATGTAAAAACTGAAAGTTCAATTTTATTTTTATTTAAATAAAAATTGACTTGCTTAAGTAAAAATATAAAAAATATTCAAATATTTTTAACATGTAAAATTAGTTTAAATAAATTATTTTGATTTAAGCAAAATTTTTGTCTTTTATCTTAATCTTATTTTTTCTTTCTTCTCATGTCTAACCCTCTTTCTTCAACTTCCGTATTCAATCATCTTTAATCTTCATATTTAACATTTTTCTTTCTCTTATACCTAACTTTTTTCTTCTCTTAATTCTCTCTTTTCTCTATCTTATGTCCAACTCTGCTTTTCTTTCTCTCATTTTCATCTCACATCATACTTATATTTCTTTTTTTGTTCCACTGTTCTTTTTCTTTCTCAATACTACTCTCTTTATCTTTATCTATTACCAGTCTTGTTTTCCCTCTATACTTAACTTTTATCTTTTTAAATAAATAAAATTTGTTTAAGTTAAAATAATTTGTTTAAGTTAATTTTGTATAAATTTTTTTTATTGTTTTTTACAATTTCATTTCACTTAAACAAAAATAAAAGTGAACTTTCAGTTCTCGCATTAGAATGAATTTGGATCCAAAATCTCCTAAGTTAACCCGATATATGTGAATCAATTAATTTGGGATTGAATTGATTCAACTCAGTTTTTTATTAATTGAATTGGATTAGTTAGATTCATGTGCACAGCCCTAGTTTTGATCTTCTTTTTTTTTATTTGGTCCGAAACAGTGTCGTTTTTCTTTCTCAAGTTCAAGCACTAACTCTAAACTGCATAGGAAGAAGACACAACACAGTGCCTCATGGGATTTTAGATCTCTTATCAGTACTCAATAGCCATTAATGCACCTATCTACTGAACCATGTAGTGTTCTACCACTACGTATCGGAATATAGCCACGATCCAATATTAATAAAAGGGAGTCGATTAATTTAAACTTAAGTAACTTATTTATTTAAAATGATTTCAGTAATTTTATATTCAAAGCCTTTTGACATCAATGAGACATTGTAATACTAAAATTAATACACATTCTCGCACAGCGAAAGAGGAAATACTTCATTTAATATTCATACACTAAAACTTAATACAAATGCATGATACATAGATAAGGCAAATTTTATACGACAAAATATTATATTTAATATGATAAAAAAAGGTCTAGTGACAGCAAAATTTTAGCTATATCTTGCTTTGAATTGTTGCAATTTTTTACATTTGATTTCAATTTATGATGGCGATTTCCTTCAACTTGTTTAGAGCAAATTCAATTCATTTATTGCTGCGTAATCAAGAGGTGGTGCTTAATTTATTTGCTTATATAGCCTTTCATTTAGCTAGTGAGCTAACGTTTTATATTTTAACATGAAGTAGAAAGAGCAATAAAGGAACTTTGTATGTTTGATAATAATACATAACAGTTAATTTATCGTTTTTTATTTATTTATATATTAATTGCGTAAGATAAGCCTATTAAAAGCGTAGGATAAGTGTAATTTTTTTTTAAAAAAGTAAATTCCAAGATAATCTAACAATTTTTTTATAAGTATCATACTCAAAAAATTTAGACTAATAAAAAAAAGACACGTATCAAGTTAAAAAATTATTATATATTATTTATTTAAAGTTATATTATTTACTACATATTATTATTATTATTAGGGTACTCTAATTTTTTTAACTATAAAAATTTGTAAAAAAATTAATTCTTGTGAAAAATAAAAATAATGAATATTAATCATATTACATACACAAATATTATGCAGACGCATATTGTATATTATAATTTTCAAGCAAAAGATTGTTTTATATTAACAATAAAGGACACATTTATGAAGCCAGCTGCTTCAAAATAGATTTTATTACTCTCTTGTAATCATGAGATAACAGGGAGGATAACATGTTTTGAATCCATATGCTCATTCAATAATAATGATATTTTATAAAAGCATAACAATGTTAATTTATTACTGTTTTAGAATGAAATTTTTTAAAAAGTATAGAAGGAAGAAAAAATGAAACAAGCCAAATGAATAAGTAATGGTGTAATGTTTTGTTTGATTTTCTTTGAATATGAATGATCTCTTCTTTCATACTTGTTAAGTAAATACAAAAATAGGAACACTTTTAGTTAGGTGAGTATAATACTTTTTGGGTCTTACTAGAACATGTATTTTGAAGGTAAAGTACATATTTCTCCTCAGGTATTTGAATATCCGTTTTGCTTCATTCTAATTTTTGCAAAAAATTGCACACTCTTATCCTTTTGATAGCTAAAAATGAACATCTTCTCACTTTTTCCTCCCTCATGAATCTATAATGCTGCATATAACTTTTTAGTTATGCTCTGTCATCTTTTATTTCGAGCTCTTGTTTTAATTTTATCTTGTAGTGAGGTGCTACAAGTGTTAATTAACCAGCATAAGCTTCAAAAACAACGACAAAATCACGCAAGATACCGTGAAATATTTCAAATATGGTTTTAGATAGGCGTTGAAGCAGTACCACAATTGCACTTGCACTTGCACCACACATCCACTAGACAAAATATACACGTGCAAGTGCAAGTAGGAAATGGAAAGAGTCCCAAAATTCTCTTGATCAAGAAACCTCTGTTTTCGGCAAGCTAGGCCTAGGAATGATGGAGTTTAAATATGTGTGACCCCTTCTAATCTATAATCCAACACGCGTGACTAGAAGACCCTGCTTTTTGAAACCAACATGCAGCTTCTGATGAATTGCCACCTAGTTGATTCATTCTCCACTCAAATTTGAATTCTATAATCCAACGGCTTCTTTCAAAATATAAATTTTTTAATGATAAGCCCTTTTTCAGAAATTGATTGATGTGAATAATTTTAGGATTTATTTGTTTAATTTTTTGACTTTGTTATTAGTAGCATGTTTTATTTCATATTAAAATGTCGATCAATTTATGTCTATTTCAATGTTACTAGCCAATGACAATTTTCCCACCAAACATATATGAGTAATTGAAAATTTTGTTTTTTAGATACTTTCTATACACAAGTTGGTTTTTAGTGTTTGTTTAAAAACGATTTAGAAAATTAATAAACATAGATATAAAAAAAGCATTAGTAAATATGGATCTATATTTAATTAAACATTAATCTAAACATGTGATATATATATATATATATATATATTATTTTATTTTTTATTTTTTTTTCTGACAATGGTTATTATTGTTCCATCTTCCATGAAGCTCCCTTCACCCAATGAGCCTTTCTTGTTATTTTATGAATGGGGTGGTTGAATGTACGGGTATGACACTCCTTGACCCAATTCCATAAGAATAATAATTGCAAAGCAGAATGGAGGTTAAAGTTGACCTCTTGAGGGTAAGACTGAAAAAGAGGCATGGCACACACTTGTATGTATAATCTGAGAATGGAGTGTCTGACTTGTGGTGTACATATATTATAATAAAAAATGATTACAAGAAAGAAAACATTGCCCAATCAATCTAACTGGGAATGCACTTTCAGTGTGTTGTTGGAATAGAAATTAACTAAAAAGGGTCATCCAAGAGCATGCTGGCAATCATGAATCTTCCAGGCACACACGAGCATTTTATTAGGATGGTATCTTTTTTAAGATGTGTGTGAAGGATCCACTTTAGGATACAAAAAATGAAACTAGGCCCTTTATATATAATCATGTATCTAATTGTCAAGATTCGTTTTTCATGCACTCAAAACAAGTCAGTGTTATTTGAGATCACTCTGTGAGCCGCCCCTATATTGTGACCAAGCTATGATTTTAAACTCATTTTCTAACGTGGCACAAAAAGTCACATCCAACTACCAATATCATTTTCTTTTAAAAAAGAAACTACCAATAGCATGTCAACATGTTGTATTATTGATGTTATGATATAATCTCTTCTTGGGTCTTTAGATAATTGTTAATTAGGCTTTTATATAGAATCTTTACTTAGTACCTACGAATTGCTTCAATAGTCAAAGATGACATTTTGAAAAGGATGAATAGCACGCTCCTCCCAAATGCCATTGTTAATTAAGGTCAATTACCTGGATCTCCTATCAGCACAGATGTTGCGCACCCCTTCACTGGTACGTTTAAATTTTTGCTAAAAAATAGTTTAAATTGTGTATTACTTTATTTGAATAGATAATATATTTTTAAAAGATAACAAAAATATCAAATTTTGGATAAGATATCTATAAATATTTAAATCATATATATATATAAGGAGTGGGTATAATTTTGGTCTATCAAAAATAATTCTGGGGAGGCAGCTAAAGAGTGAAGGAAGCTACAGATTTCTGGGCTAAGGCCCAAACTCAAAGGGAGTTCTGAACAAGGACATGTAACTTAGTTAATAATTTTTGCACTTGGTTTTTTAAATGTCACTTTTTTCATGTTTCTTTCGAAAATTAAAATTCTGGAGTGTATTAATTAATTTTAAAATTTTAATTCTAAAAGTAGTTTCCAAAATTAAATTTTAAGGTGTCAAAAGTAATAATGCCCTTGAAGTTATGAGCATTGGAGTAATGAGAAGACTTTTTTAACAACTTAGTTGGAAGAAGAGACTTTATTTTGACACTAACATTGTTTAGTTTTGTGCTCTTGGCATTGGTAATGGCCAGGGTCAATATGCTCCCTTTCTTAACAAAATAAAAAAACAGAAGACATCTCTCTGTGTACTCAAAAATTAAAATCAAAAGAATATAAAATCTACCTCTATATATTATTTGCTCTTGATTTTGAGATGAAAATATTTTTAAAAGACATATTAAATGAGAGGATTTTAGAGTTTTTTTTTAAAATTATACTACATGACTTTTATGCATTAAGCATTTATTTATTTTAATATAATCTTAATTTAAATTTCTTACAAGTTATTTTTTAGTTTTAAACTTTATCTCTTTAATTTAATCTTATTCAATATAATAAAATATTTATTATTATTAATTTAAATATTTAATCTTTTGAATTTATTAATTTTAAAAATACTTATATAATATATCTTCTAATTTTTATTTAAACTTTATTTTAATTTAACAATACCTGTATACAAGGAATTCACTAGTCAAATACATTTTTAAATGTAAATTTTAAAAACGATCAAATCCACTTTTAAGTCAAACTTACATGTACAAATATAATTATTTATGTTCATACATGATGGGCTTACAAAGCTTAAAGAACAAGGTACAAATAAATGTAACAAATTTTTGGGACCCTACATGTAGCTGTATGAAAATATAAAAAGTAAAAGATAGATGGATAAATTCCATATAGCTACCAAAATATACTATGGATCCAGACACATAGATATGTACAAAGAACATAAACTAAATATCAAACAAACTTCTCCTACGAGTACGACCTTGTCTTTTATTTGGAGGAGCAGGGGCTTCATCACTCCCAGGAAATTCCCACCTAACAATGTCACCATCCCAGGCTGAAGAAATCATCATTGGATAGAAAGGGTGCCAACTACAATCTCTTACAGGTGCCTCATGATGATTAAGTTTTGCAACTTGACCACCACTTACCTACAAATAATGTACACTAATTTTTTTAGACTGATATCATTAGAACCATAAGTAAATGGATAAAGCCAGGTACTTCACATGAATGCAGTAAGTGTTAGTATAATGTGTGAATTTTTTTCTTACCAGGTCATATATATAAACAGAGGAATCGCTGGATCCGGTGTAAATGTACTTTTGACCAGTGCTGCAACATGAAATACACAAAATGTTATTCACATTCTTCAAATATCAGATGCAAAGAGAACATTGAACATCATCACAGAATAATCAACATTGAAAATATGTTAAAACAAGTGTCAGTGTGTCACTCGAAAAGGATTTGTCAAATCCACCACCCCACTGCAATTCAAAAGGATATTTTTCATCGATATTTCTAAAATTATTAAGGGGTTCGAAGAAAACTTTTAAAAAATACCATAAGCAAGAAAACCAATTTGATTCTTCGTGAAAAATATATCCTTTCAGCAACATTTAGTTCCATGGATGACAGTGAAACACACCACATCCTAGCCACTCGGCAAAACAATTCCAGTCATTTAACTGACAGTTATTGAATTGGTTCATTACTGTTACATATATCTTTGATTTCAAAATAAATACGAATTATCATAAGCAATTCAACACCTAAATATTTTGGATAAATTACAATCTTATACCATGCAAAAGAACAGTGATACACCAGAGAGAGAAAGTCCCAGAAGTACAAGTTACCTATAAGATGGTGAAAAATAACAGCGCACTAGAGTACGCAACACCGAGTGACCTTTATATGTTGCCAATGACTGGTCATGGGGATGCTTTAAATTTCTTGCATATTCAGGGTAGTCCATCCACCGATAGTCCCACTCATCATCTCCCAGGCCCAAACTGTTGGTTCATCATTATAAACATATACATCACGGATTAGAAGGGTGAAATATTAGAATGGAGTCACTTCTCTTGATTTTTCTTTGACTTGAGTGTCATTCCAAGTTCCAAGATAAAATACCAAGCCAGATCAAAATTCACAATGATGAGTAGCGTCCAAGCACACAAACACATTCATGTGGAAGATGAGTTATACTATACAATTATTAAAAACCATCGTGAATAACCATCCAATGTATTAGAGCTGTGGTAAGACAAAGTTCCATTTATGCAGTATCAGCAAAAATTCTTATTTCTGTTGTTAACAGCTGACAACCAAAATCCTTCAATGACATTTACAAGGGGTTTGAAATAGAATCAATCAGACTAATTGTAACTTCCAAACGTGATGAATACTCCATAGCTTTGTATGTCTTATTTTTCAAATTACTGTTAGCCTTTTTCTTTTTGAGGAGGGGGACTATTACTGCAACTATTGGATTGCCAACAAAGAGGCCTTATTGTAACCAACTTCTCAATTTCTTTCTTCCTTATACTTCTCTCTCTGAAATTCCTATTCTACCGTAAAAGCATTTCAAGTAGGTTATAGAGAGGGAAACTAATGAAATTCTTAGCGTAACTCTGAATCTACAAAACAAAAATAGAGATAGAAAAGCTTTACTTCACGGCATTAGAAGTCATCTTCCTTATATCCCATAATTTGGTAGTTTGATCTTTTCCATTGGAAATTAAATAACGACCATCCCCACGGCTATCAATGAATGTAACGCCTTCTAAATGTCCCATTAAGATCCCAGCTGGTTGTCCTTTGGAGACAAAGCAACGCCTATCCCACACCTACACAATGTCACAACAACAAAAAATTCCTTCAATGAGTTGCAAGCAGAAAAACCAAAGCAAAATATTGGAAAATGTAAGGATAAATTTTTTTTACCAAGAGATCAAATTACACCAACTACCACTTTTGGCATAACAGACAAATGGCTCTAAAGTTGTGATCAATATAAACTTAACTAGTCAATAATGAATATATCACAACTAACACAGAAATTTGTGGATATTATCAAATTCCTTTAACTAAAATATGAGTATTACCTTGCAAAAACTATCATCACTTCCAGAATATATTAGATGGCCAGATTCATCAGCAAAGCAGACAGTATTAACATCAGACTGCAACATCAAAAAGGCATGTCAGATATGATCCACCTGCTATGCTTGCAAATACAAATCCACCTTGAGTCACACTATATGCCACTTTAAAGTGATAAATAAACTATCAACAATCTATACACAGATCATTCTATGAGGACGGAGAACTGACAGAGAAGATGCTCAGGCTCAATTTGGCCCACCTTAAGATTTATATGATTTATATCCTTTTACAAAAATAGCTCCCAAAATGAACCAAAAGATTCAAAATTTTGACAGATTCAGGTCCATACATCTAAATTGAGTTTCCGTTACTATTTTGATTTTAAGCAGTTACACAGATTTTAATTAGTACCCTAATGCATTTGAAGCCTTTTTAAATTATTCAAATTAGAAACTAACATGTAATAATAGCAAAGAATATATAATACCAGGTGAGCAGGAATTCTAAGGCTAAGCTTATTTGCTCCAAGATCATATACACATATCGAGCTATCACTAGTTCCAGCCACAAGCTCTTGCCCATCCGTTGAAAATTTGATAGAGAAAATCCCAAATTCATCATCATCATCAGAAGATAAATTCAATCCATAATGAATTTCCTGCAACAAAAGAAGGATTCCTGAACGTAAACCAAACGATTATTTAATGTGACAGAGAGATGCATGCAACATTATATCTTAAAATATTTTAGGTTAGAATTTTAAAGCACAAGAACAAATCTACACATGCTACTTAATAATAAATAAAAAGGTTGGCTGTATCTTTAGCAAAAAGCACAACAAATTTTCCCATTCCATATGTGAGATTGGACAGACCCAATACAGTGACCTACAATTCAACAATAGTAGGAGCATTTCCATGATGATATAAGAAGAATTTCATTATTTTACATATTCAAATTGCTTAGAATAAGGAGCTACCTCCTGCACCAGCCACTAGTACATCTTATAAAAATAACTCAGAATACAGTTATTGCTAGGAATATAAGTATCTCACAAGTCACAACTAGAAAAAAAAATGTAAATGTAATATCTTACTCCTCTAGGATATTATAAAAAGCTATGAACCTATGTTACATTGACTACTATGAACGGGTGTGAGAAATTTTCAGTACATACTGTAACATTTGCTATTGACTCTGTTGTGGCAGATCCCACATTGACAATATGGATAATTGGTGACATACTGGCATAAACCTGCAATAATTAATAAACAATTTGTCAAATGTGAGTTGCAAGAAGTTAAAGAAAGTAGTAAATAGCTCAGACTTATATATGATTCATAATCCAAGGTCAAAATTGGTTGTTTATAACGTCAAATTCTTAATCATACTAGTGTCTGCTTGGCAATCAACTTACAAGATAGAGTTGATCTGGTGAGAGAGATGTATCAGTAATTGTCCACCGTAAGTTTCTAGCAGATATGTCCTTCTTAACTTTCCAGTCTCTGTCAACATCATAGACCCTGATGTGGCTTCCCTGTTTTATAACAATACACAAACAACCAAAATGAAGATATAAATACCCTTTTGTTCCAAAATTATAGTATCTTCACCTGTACAAAACACTTCAGTTTAACAGAATCATCTTCAGCATCATACATAATTCAAGTATACATTAACAACGACGATAGTGGTAACAATAATAACCTGGAATCCAGCAATAAAAATAGAACCATCAGCAGAAAATTGCGACACATAGGCACGGCTTCTCATTTGATCCACAATCCAAGGACCTCTGGTGGGCAAATAGCGGCTTAACACATGGCATCCATCTGCTGGTGAAAATCTCCCCCGTCCGGAATAATTTCCTTCCCTACCAACTAACATTCTCACAGTTGATGCAGGTAACCTCATCCTGCCTGGAACAGCACGACCCAAAAGTTCATTGGGACTTGACCTAAGTCTTGTGAGCTGTGCAATTTCATGATCAAGATAACTAGCCCTTTCTCCAGCTATTCCACAAGATTCATCACTGGCACTACCATCACTACAGGCACTTGTATTTTTGTTCAACCGATTCATATTTCACCCTCTCTATATCCTGCAAACAGCATCAAATCTAAGCAAACCTGAGCCAGGGCAACTTTTAATCACGAACACAACCATACACAGAGAATCCTATACCATCTATACTAGTACTCAGTGCCAACAGAGAACCCCTTCAGTCTCACACTCTGAAGAACTAGCCAAATGAGAAAAGTAAAGAGAGATTTAGCTTAAAACCTTTTTTTTCAAGTTTAGTCCTTTTTGGTTGATGTAACAAAAGGGTCAGTAAGAAAAATGAAGAAAACGAATCAATTAAAAAAAAACGGAACCTTAGTCCAATTATGAGAATTAAAAAGAAAATGAACATCTACGTACCAATTTGAAACTCAATTCACCATCACTGCACCTTATCAAACAGGTGAAGCAAAAATAATAAATAAACAAATAAAAATACATAAAGGGGTTTTGGAGGATTTAAGAATGAAAATTGAAAGTTACCTCTGATTGGAATACAAAGTTGTGAGGATGAAGGCACACGAGCCTGGATATTATTGCAATCTTGCTACCGTTCTCGTCTACCACTTATGTCTGTGGGTCTGTGTGTGATGAAAATGTAATGAATGAATATTAAATATTGGAAAATTGGAATTGTCAAAGCCCCTTCGTTTCTTTGCCTTTGCTTGGTTTCTTCTCAATTTTGCATACGTACACATAATCAGGTGTTGGTGTTGCAGACTACCAGGCAACGTCAAACTTTTACTTAAATTATACATACTATTAAAAAAAACTACCCATACTATATTAATATCTTATAACATACTAGTATATTATAATTATATATATATATATATATATATATAAATATAATGATATAATAAATTATAATTTGTTAGATTTAAATTAAATAAAAAATTTAAATTAATAATAAAATTTTTTAAACTTACGCTAATATAAATATATATATATAATTAAAAATACTTAATAAAATATATAATTATTATATTATGAATATAAAAAATTATTTTTATATAAATAAAATAACTAATATAGTATATGAAATGTTATTTAAAATAACTCATGAGACACTCGTCAGTTAAATTTATTGTTTAAAGAAATGTTATATTTAAAATTCTAAAAATATTTAATATTTGATATTTTTAAATAATTAAAACTATTTAACATTTTTATACAACACTTTTTTTTTTCTAGGAAGTGTAAGAAGATGTGTACAAATATGCTATATGATTAACATTCAATTAAATATTAGAAGGTTTAATTTTTAGTTTAAAAAACCTCTATAAGTTCCTTTTTCATTTAATCGCAAAATTTTTAGTATATACTACTTTTATTTTTTAACCCACCACTTCAAAAGATATTTTTCTATTTATCTCTCATTTTAAATGGTTAAGATAATATCATCATCTTAAGCATAGGTTTATTTTAAAACTTATCAAGATCGAAAGAATGAAAAATAATGATGCAAGAAATGTTTGAATATTAAGTAATTTTATTCATCTATGTATTATAAGAGTAAACCATTTACTAGAAAAATAATAACAGTGAATCAAAATCCAAATTTAATAACTTATCCATTGGTTGAAGTTTAAACTTCACAACATCAAAAAGCATGACAGAATTACTCCAAATTATTTTTGCCTACAAAGAGAATAAGAGAGTTACTCCAAGCAATAAAACAGTTACAAGTAAAAATTTACTCATTAATAATTTATTTTAGGTTCATTAAATGTTTAATTAACCTCATTTATTTAGTTTAACAATTATACTTGAGTTTATAATTATATCTAGTTATTTAAATAAGTTAAGATTAAGCTTCCCAGACATTAATAGATCTTAAATAGTTTTTTCTTTATTATATTTACTTTAAAATTCTTTTATTTATTAAGATAATTATACTCTGTTTCTCTATAATTTAACACTTTTGCAACTATATCCGTTTGTTCTACACCTCTCTATAATTCAGACTAAAATAAAATGTCAAAATTTTTATTAAAAAGAATGATAACTACATGAACATCGTTTCCATCTCTTAGAACTATGATGAGTTCAACCACCGTTGTAGAATTTTAGGAGAAAAGATGTGAGATTATTCAGCGTCAAAGGGAATCAAAGGGAAGGGAGTTTCTAAGCTTTGATTCGTGGGTAATAATTGCTAAGATTTTACATATGTTGATTAATTTTTATGTTCTTCATCTAGAGTTAATTATATTGTCTATAAATGTAGTTTTTCTATTATGTAGAATTATAATATAACGTGTTAAATATGACTTAGTTGGTTTATTAGGTTATTATCTAGAAATATGCTAAATTTAAATCAAATATATAAAGAAAAAAGGCAAATTAAATTTACAATGTATTAGGCTAAGGTAATAATTGTCATCCATTTAAGAGAAGAAATGAACAAATTAATAATGAAGAATTAGGATAATTCTTAAATTTAAATTTTCACATCTGCATTGTAACAAAAAGAAAAATACTCAAATTATCACATGATTTTTAGCCTTCTTTTTTTCTTCGTTAAAATTCATAGCCTTCTTTTTTTATTATAGAACTTCAAGATGTCTCTCATCTACTTGTTCAAAGTTCGAACTACATGGCATTAAGAACTCCAAACTCTCTTCCAAGCAATTAAAAAAAGGCGAAAACCACAAGAGGCACAATGAACAAAATATGAATTTTTTTTTCTTATCAATAAGCTAATAATGGATATTACAACATTATGTTATTTTATCTTTGATGTACGGTCCAAAATGGATATAAAAGAATTTGATTTATGATGGTAAGCATTAGGTAGGCTACTGCTATGCTTTTTGCTTGAGCTCCCACCTTCATATGGATTAAGATGGTGAATCCCTTGATGCCCATCACAAGAGACAAGTCCAAAATGTATCAATATAACCACCTCTTTTTTTTTCTCTTTTCTCTCTATGAACTAATGCAAGCCTGAATTTCTTCCAAAGTTTTTCCTTTGGTTTCTGGGACTAATTTTGCTACAAATAGAATAGTAAAGAGGGAACATCCAGCATACAAAAACAAAGTACCTGTCCAAAAAAGAATATAAATACATTTCATTAATTATAGTCATATGGACACAAGAATGCTAATTAACTATGCTTCTATTCTGTGCTTACCAGGAGAACTCCAACTCATAAGAAAGTTGTAAGTATATGAAACTACCCAAGCTCCTAGCCAAGTCACTAAAACCACCAAGCTTCCAGCAGTTCCCTTCACATTTATGGGAAAGATCTGCAATATGAAAAATTGTATTAGATATAGAATAATTCAATCATTTTCTTTGAGGGGGTCTTATATACAAGCGACAGCAGTGGCAATCATTTGCCTTTTTGTTGGAAAACAAAAGCTTGACATGTTAATTTGTTATGTCTTTTCATAAAGAACTTTTTTAAAACACTTGTACCATTTCTATTTTGACTAGCTCTTCTTTGACATATACTATTACAATTTTTGGTGTCAAAAGATACATACCTCTGACATCATCACCCAAGGAACTGATCCCATCCCAATTGAAAATGCTGATATGTATATCTGATTACAATAAAAGCCAGAAAATTGGAGAAATTCAGGTCAAATTGGAATTTTAGGATTGTATCTACATCATCCACTATCCCAATAACCTAAAGAAGGAGGAAAGATAAGAGGGGAAGGGGGGCTTAGAGTTTGCGAAAGAAAACTCACCATCACCCCTGCAACTGCTAGTATTGGTACCCATTCAAGCAATAGGCTTTGGTCCTGATCCATGAAGTCATTGAGATGAATTTTAGAACATAAACACCTCCGATGAAAATATATTGCATTTATACTATGGCTTATGAGTACATATGCAACTTATTTAAGTACTTATTCAATAAGCATTTTTTAATGATAACTTATGATATAAATTTAACGATGAAATTTATTAAAATAAGTTTAAAGTAACTTATTTTGATAGACTATACCCAGAAATTTATTGAAATAAACTGAAAAGAGCTTATCAAAGTTATAAGCTATTTTAATAAGTTGTCTATAAACTCTTTCAAACATGCCTTAAATACTTGCCTTGAGAAAGAAAGCAATTCCGGTAATATAGCTGCCTAAGAATGTCCCACTTGCGGAAACCTGCATATATATATAAGAACATTTGTTAAGCATCAAAGTTCTTATTCCTCCTACTTTTAGATGGCTTTGATAACAAGTGCTTGCAATTGCAAATAGATTTACCATAATGAGAGGTCTTCTTCCAGACTTATCCATCAAAATGGCTCCCAATACAGTAAACGGAACCTGTCATTCATTGTAACATTTGAAGTTCAAACAAAATAATATAGTTATATTATATGATTAAATTCTGAGAAATCAGTAGAAGAATCAAGTACCTGTATACAAGCATATGCTATGGTACCAGCTTTTCCTGAAGAAAGTCCTGAAAATCCAGTTATAGAGGAATAAATATGACCGATTGAGGAAACAGGTTTCTTTGATTCCTCCAAAATCAGCGTGCATTTCTTTTCACTTACCAGCTGCTACAAAAGTCTCAGATGCATAGAATCCTATACCATTAATTCCAACAGATTGTTGACATACCATTAACCCAAGTCCAATCTGAAATTGTGACAAATAGTTAATTTAGATCCTTTGAGTAACTATGCACATTGTGATTAAATTTCTGCAAGAAAAGTGTGTTACTTACAACTACAGAGCGCACATATTTTCTTTGGAACAAATCCAACAGCTTAATCTTGGGAAGGCTTTGAAGAGTTTTAATATAATCCTATATAGCGAAAGAAATATGTCAGCTCAGGTCATCAAACATGTCAAATTATTTGGAAAAGTTTTCAAAGGTTCCAATTAGTTTAAGAGAGCTTGAAAAGTACCAGAATTTCAGCAGCTTCATGAGAAATATCAACATCTTTACCCCGAAGTCTTCTTAAAGCTAGTTGAAATTCTTTTTCACGGCCAACCTTTGCCTAAAAGATATATGCATAGTTTATTAATTTGCATTGCTAGTTTGCTACTATAATCATCTTATGCTTATCTTGAGCAAGAAAAGAAAGCAAAGGTGCAATTTGGTCCTTAGATTCTAGCTTAATGCATACCAGCCATCTTGGGGACTCAGGGACAAAGCACGAACCAACCAACAAGCAAATGCAAGGCACTAACCCTTCAAAAGTTCAAGTAAAGCAAACAGTTAGACTTTTTTACTTCATAATTTCTTACATCTTAGACAACAATTCAAAAGTCAAAACTAATGATAATATATTTGTTGATTTTTTTAATGTAAGCACAAAGGCACACATTACAAATTAATAAATAATAAGATTTAATTATATATTGTAATAACATTTAATGTTTTTGTGTGATTTTTAATGCATTAGATTACATAAATTTTATAAAAATTAATATACCTGCTAGTGCAAGTTCTCTCCAATTTATGACACCTCCAATTAAGAATGAGAATGATGATCCGATAACAATCAAAAGCTACAAAACAATCACAGTCAGTGCCAAAGTACAACTCAACGATGTAAGATATTTTATCAAAGAACAAAATACAATAGTTCTTATTATTTCCTCACCTGATTTGTTGTTGCAAGTCCTCCTCGAAGATTTTTCGGTGCTATTTCTGCTATATAGACCGGAACCTGTTCCATTTTCCTGATTTTTATTAGAAATATTGTGGTGTAGTGGTAACATGTTATAAATACAACCATTTAAGTTAAA